ATTATCAGGGATCTGTTCTGCAGCAGCTATGTGGACTACACGCCCAGCAAGCAGGGAAAATGAGTCAGGGCTGAGGCGAGCGGGACATTTGGGCCCTGCTGAGGAGCTCTCTGCCAGGCAGGGTGAGTCAGTGGCAACCCTGCAGCTGGCTGCCAGCAGGGCCAGTGGCCCGGCCTGTGGCACTCAAGGGGACAGGCTCCCCTGCTGCCACTGAGGAATCCTGGCACAGGGCTGTGGGTGCAGGGGATGCATTGATTTCCCACCATGCAGCTGCAGGAAAGCCCAATGCAGACCCTCAGAAAATTAACTGTGAAAGAAAAAACCCTGAACACCAGAGTAATCCCATGTAAAGTGAAGCTGAGGATGGGTGCGGCTTTCCTGTCTAGAGTTCAGCTGGCCAGCTGTAAATGAAATAGCTGCAATAGCCCTGTAGTTCTACGAGTAATCGGAGATTGCTCATCAAGGGCAGGAATGCTGTGGATCCCAGTATGACACCCCAGCTCTAGAAAATAACTCTGTGATGTGAAACCCTGCACAAGGCACTTTCCCCCTCAGTGCTGGTGTGTAAATAACGGCTGCTCCCCTGCGCTCAGGCAGTCGTGGAGCAAGGAGAGTGCCTTCCTGAGCTGTGGTGCTTGAGTCCTGCACCAAACATGGGTCCTGCACCAAACACAGGCCCTGCACCAAACACAGTTCCCTGTTTCTCCACAGGAATTACCCCCGTGAGCCCTGGCAGCAGCTAATTAGGTCCCTCCTTGACAAGGTGAGCTTTTGATTTGGACACCTCCACTTTGCTCAAGCCTTGGTTTAAGCACAGAGTTACTCAGCTAGCTCTTTCCCTAAATCCTGTTGACTCTTGTGGGATGACTGCTCTGCCTGTGGACCACCGGTGCGTGGCCTGCTAGTGACTATACCCTCTTGGGGGTCTGGTGTGGCAACTTGCCACCATGCAAATCCTCAGAGAGTCCAAAGGAGGAGCTTGCTATGTCCAGCAGTCCAGAACCAAGGCTTTGAGGTACCAGGTGATATTCAAACAGCTTACATCTGTTGGGCTGCACATAATATATGGTGTTGCAACTCTTCCAAGATAAATGAAATAATAGCCTATGATATGTATCTTTATGGCTTGTTTAGTGGTTGTGTTCCTGACTCAGTGCGCAATTTAAGAGGATGCTTCCTGAAATTAATTACTTTTGGGGCAATTAACATCATCCATGATCATGAAACAATGCAAGCAACAACTCTTTTGGTTTTTCTCATCTCCCTAGGGAGGAAGCACAGGTCTGGGACCTGAGTCAAATAACTTTCAGCAAGAAGAGACTTGAAATGTATAAGATGATTCCTCTTGTCCTTTGAAGGAGAGAGGAAAGGAGAAGCTCTTTCCACACTCCAACATACAAGGTTATGACCCACTTTTATGCTTTACCATGTAAACGGAGTGTAACGGCCTGATATGAAATGCACCCATGCAAATATTAAGATAATCTCTTACTGGAGTGCTTGTCTTCTGAATAGCTACCACTGTGTTTCATGGGACCTGGCTCATTCTGTTGTTACACAAAACCCCTGACCTGCAGGTGTGGCACCACAAACCAGACAGCATTGAGACTGGCTGGAGACGTGTGAGAGGACTCAGAGACTTCACTGAAATGTACCAAAATATAAATTGAGTGTGTAAAACAGCAAGAAAAGGATAGCTAGGAGAACCAGTTACTGTCATTGTGGTCTTGATTTCTCTCGAAGTCTGCAGCAAGAGTCTTCCTCTGATGAGTAAGGTGCCCTTCAGGTGGTGCAGGTCTAAGCCGTAGCTAAGGCTGGTGACGTGCAAGGCTGAACTCTGCAGGGGTGTCTGTGGGCAAATCCTCAGCCTGCCCTGGTTGTGCCTGCCCTAGCCCAATGCCACACTACCCAGCACCCAGGCATGCTGTCTGCAGAGCTGCACTGGCTGGAAAGAACCATGGCAAAAACTGTGGAAAACAGGTGAGGAGGTGTCAAATAAACACCAGAATTGATGCAAGAGAAGGCAGGAGGAAAGTATAGTCATGAGGGAAGAAGCAGCAACCACTTAGGTTGGTTTGAACTGTTGCAAAACATAACTCTGAGCCAGCGATGGCACCCAGATCAAAACACAGGATTTCCTGGTCCTGTATGGTGCTATTGTGTCTACTTGCCTTTACGTTGCCATCCACAGTAAATTGCCTTTGAAGCAAGCATAGGGCTTTTAAGTGCTCCATAAAACAGCTGAATCATGTGTTGAATAACCTCAGTCAGGGAGCAATGCTTGCTCTTTGCAACTAGTTGAAAACTAGTCAGCAACCAGATCAGACTGAAGAAGTTTTCCTTTACAGAGTCAAAGTACAATTAACCAATGGTTTTTCATACCTTCAGGCAATCTTTGGTTTCATCCATTTGTATTTTTTCTTTCAGTTCAATTCAAAGTCAATTAAATCTCACCTTGAATCACAGAACACCTGTTTGTTTGATGTCAATCTCTTTTTCTTTGAGCTTTTGTGAAGAAACAAAGGTAATGGCAAATTGGGGATTATATTCTCCTACAGTTTTGTTTCAGCTTAATTTCAATGAAAGAAGCATTTTTCAAATTTGAGTGACAGAATCCATTGTGATATCACCTAGGAAATTATTATCAGGCAGCATATTGGGCGTTCTCAGTCTCTTTCCATATTCCTTGTCAGAACAGAATTTCATATATCTTGTCAGAGATCAAGCTGGTTGTATTGCTCTACGAACTCCCAGCTCTTCTTTTACCCTTTATGTAGATAATTGTTATGTTTATCATTCTGCAGTCCTCTTGAACCTCACCACTTGTACTGGAGATAATTGTTTATCTTCAGAGATCACTTCACTTTAAGTATTCCAGGAATATGTTTTACTAGACCTGACAATGATAACATGTATTTTATTATATCAGTGATTATGGTCTGTTCTGGTCCATGCTTCTATCTCCTTATTTACCTTAGCAAGATATTGCATGTAGCTCTGTGGTCCTCTTAGAGTACTGCCTGATCTACTTAAAAAGTTGAAAATGAACTTAGGCATTTGACTTGGCTAACTTTAATACTGCACTGAGACTGAAAAGAAAGCAGTTAGACAATAGTTAACTTAATACAGGTCAAACTTTTTAGGTGGACACGGAACTGGGCGTTCTACAGCTCTTGCTGTAACACTTTTTTTTTTTTTTTTTTTCCCACGTGCCTCTTTTTATATGAGAAGTAGAAAAGAATATAAAGCACAGGTGATAGACAAGTATCGGGATTGATTTTTTAGGGGAAAAACAAACAAACAAAAAACAAACACAACAAGCAAGCAACCAAAAACCACTGTGAGCATTCCTTTTGAGAGGAAACTTATTTTCCTAAGAAGAAATCTGAGCAGATGTAAGCTTCTTCAAAGCTAGAAAACTATAGAGCTGAAATACAAAATGTTACGTACTATCTGAAAATCAAGTTATTTTAATTAAGCCACCTTCTGGCCATGGCAGAATTGTAATTTTCTCAAATGCTTAGAGCATGTTTTCAGTATTGCTGTTAGAGGACCTAGACTAGCACAAATCCTTCTATGCTCAGAGCATGAACTGGGAACAGTTTTTGCTCAGGATCTCCAGACGGTTCTCAAAAACAGTTGGATCCTGTCTTCCCTGGCACACAGGTGCTGCCTGGCTTTGTGCTCCCAGGGGACAGCACATGGCAGCAGCACAGATTGGCTCTCACCTTGTCGGTAGTGTAGTTCAGCACTGATGCTTCAGGGAGAGCCCCCAGCTGGCTTTCCTAGATGAATAATAACTTCTTAAACATTTCACAACATTAAAACAATCCATATTCCTATATTTGTGATTCTGGCAAAAAATGTGTTGTGGGAGGCTATGATAGGTATTATCTTTCTCAAGAGGGTATTCTAAAACACAAAGGGTTTGCTTTTGACAATGACTTCCTTGCCCAAACCAGGCTAGGAATAACAGCTGTTCTGGTTCACCTGAGCCGTTTACCCTTCCAACTCTCACTTTCATTTTTCTTTGCACTGTCCAGAGTAAGAAACAGCATCTTCTTGGTTTTCTGTATTTGTATTTTTTTTAATATGCTGGGTGAGTTTGTAGTAATGCTGGTTAGGTAAGTCACTGCTGCTCTTGTCTGTACAGAGAAGATTTAGAAGTGATAACATAAATATGCTTCTGTTCTCACTTTTCTACAGTTAACTTTATGGTGGTAAATGCGCTGCAGACATGTTCTAATGGCAACAGTCATTAGTAGAAAAAGGCTGCATCTAAACCTGGCACGGAATTGCCTCTTTCCAGGATTGTGGAGATGGCTTGCCAAAGTGCGTTCTCTTAAGCATTTATCTACGCATCTGGCCTTCTCTTGGCATGGGATGGGCCTGTGCAGTGCGAAACGAAGCTACCACTTCAGCATAATGCTGAAACATAAGTTAAAGCCTCTAGCCAAATGAAACTTGTAAACGGTATGTCACTTTCAGATGAGAGAACAGTTCAGGCAGGTTCAGAGTTCTGCACAAATTGCTTAGCCAGCCGCAATTACCCTGTGTGTTTTTTAATATTGCTGAGCAAAATGAAGCACACTAATTTTTAGAACTGCAGCCTGCTGCCGACACGCAGCTGGCATCTAAGCACTTCAACCACATGAAGCGTTAGTAGTAAGCCAAGGTCAAATACTGCTATTGCTGATGGAGGTTGGGTTACTTGTAAAGTACTGTGAATTCTTGTGGACATGGACATTAGACTATCATTAAGGCTGTAATTGAATTATGGTTAGACTCTTCCTCTCTGTTCCCATGCAGAGCATATGCTGGAAACATGAGAGGACAGACTAAAAAATGTAATGATACTCTTGCTCCTTCCCAGCTTTCATTATTTGATTTTTTTTTCCTTCAGTTCTGAAGACAGTCTTTTCATAACCAATGTGCAGAAATTTGTAGAGACACACAGCTGTGCATATATATGAGAGACACTGGAATTCAGTGCACCTGAATAGATTTCACACCTTGTAAAAACAGCCCAGGTGATATGAATACTCTCCTGGCAAAAGGGTGCCCCTGAGCTAGCATATTGCATGAGGTAGCTCTTGCAGAGTGTGTGGGAGTTGTAAAATACATATAAGCTACAGTTGCCTGTCAGAAGCAATAAATCTCAACAACAACAACAAAGTAGTTGGTAGTTGTTGTGCCTTGAAGGTGGAGTAAAGCCAGGCAATGCCTGAACCTGCCATGCTTGCAGCAGAGTGCTCGTAAAGGCAGGTAGTGCTGCTTGCAGCATCAGTGCTCTTATGTAACATGTTTCTTTAACAGCAATTGAAAAATTGAAAATGATTTGTCTGCCTGAATGAGGGGAAGAAAGCACTTTATTTGAAGTAAGTACTTTCAATTCATGTCCAAATATATAAAGTTTCTAAAAAATGAAGTGTACTGTGCTTCTGCCCTTAAAGGTGGCACGACACTGCTAAGCTTCACCCTCCTGCAAATACCATCAAGTATTTAGCAGCCAAAGTTTAGATCAGGGAGATGAGAGAAATCACTGAGGCCATGCAAACTGTCAGAAAGCGGTAGGTTAAGTGATAGTTTTATCTATATCCTTCTGGTCTCTGGAAAGGATTTCTTCAGAATTTTGATCATGTAGCTGAGATACAGTTGTGTAATTTTTCTTAATCTTAGCCTGGGCTTGAATCTGGGCTGCAGATCTGTTTGCACCAAGCTGGTTTATATAGCTGAGCACAGGCTTGTTGAGCTGTGGCATCGACTGATGACTTGTACATTCTGAAAACCTATTATTAATTTATTATTATTATTTTTTATAGTAAGTGCAAACTATTTATTTTAAAAATACTATCACAGTACATTTCTATTTTAGCTAATGCATGTTTGTTCTGTAACCATAAGATACACAGACCTTCCTTTTCTTATCTGTCCCAATAAGGATGGGAACGGGACACATGGACTCACAGCCACATGTGTTTTATACTGACGAGGGCTCCCCAGTGCACGTTGCTGCTACAGGACATCAGTAAAGTACAACCACCTTCCAAAGTGATATATCAACTGAAATCAGATATGTCTGTTCAAAACAAACAAACAAAAAAATCAATCCAAACCCAGCAGGTTTTCAGGTTAGTATATAGTGATGAAACTGAACTTTTTAATAAAATGCCTCCAGGTCCTCAGGGGTAAGTAACCATTGCCAGGAGTGGAGATTGTTTTGTTTCTAAACTGTTATGCTGCTCTGGAATGCTGAATTGCTACAAATACTCCTATTGCCTTAAATAACAGTTTTGATAGTATCCTTGACTTTTAAAAAATTTATTATATTTTTGTCAAATACAGCCCTGTATCTTCATGACATGTGTGGGCTCCCAGTGGACACTGCGGAAATTCCACCTGGTGCCAAAACAGTCCTTTTAATAAGCCTTTTTAGAGTATTACAAAAGCAACTGCAACAACAACAAACTATCACTTTAGTACTCTGCTGAGAAAGTGGTGTGGATTATCACCAGAGAGTAACCTGAGGTGAATATTTTAGGGTAGAATGGAGCTATGTTCCTGTGGCATCTGAGATGGAAGAGGTGAGGTTAATTCAGCCACTGCTCTTCCAGACAAGCCAAAGCAGGGCACAAGGTTCATAACAGGCTTTACTGATGCCAAGAGCCTTTCATTGATCTGACAGGTGAGCAATAATAAATAGATTACCTTTCACTGTGGGAATCCAGCAAGGTCTTCCAGAACAGGTAAAACCTGTTGGTCTTTTCCTGCTGCACGTTCTGAACCACAACATTTATACAGATAATGAGATTTGAGCACAGAGTTCTGGTTGTACTTTTGTGTGTGCTGAGGCTTAGATAGGCAATTCTACAGTGTAGTTCTGTCTCTACATAGCCTTACAGGATTTTTTTTTCTTTTCTTAAAGGGCGTACCTGTTTGAGGAATAAAATTCAGTTTCATACATGATTTGTGATGGCACCTAGGCTTCTTAGGGCCTCCAACATCTTGAAAGAAAGACTCCAGACTCCAGTCTTCCTGAGTGGCAAGGTCTTTGGTGATTCCTAAACCACTTATCTCCCCTCACTCAATTGCCTTGTACTTGGACTCCGTGCTTGGACTCTTCAGGCTTGCATTCCTCTCTGTTTTGTACTGACAGGACTAGCTCTTCTGTTAGTAATTAGTGCTAACTAGTTCATATATTTCATAGAACTATAACTGAAGTTGATCAATATCAATACTGAGATTAAGCTTTTAGCAGATATTCATTTAGTTTTCCATCATCTATAAAAGAAACCTGGGAGTTACCTTGTGAACATACAACCTCCAACATCAGTGCTGTTAGAGTAGCGGATTATGGTGGTATTCTGCTTTGGAGACATAACAAACGAATTATTTCAGTATGAAGTTCTTTCTTACAATTTCTTAAAATGTGTCTGTTCCCTCCTGAGCTGTGATATGTTTCTTTCTTTCACTTAGTTCATCATTTACTAAGTGACAGATGCAGTACAAACTTTTCCTATCTACTAAATGCCCCCCACAAGCCCAGTTATTCTCCCATTGCCCTTACCTGTGTAGGAAATAGGTTCTAAATATGTTTAGAAATGTAGGCTCCAGCTCCATGGGCACCTCTTTTACCCATCAGTTGTTTATATCTAGGTTCCCAGGTGAACTAGCATTTCTAACAGATGTTGGAAAAAAAAAAGAATAAAACTGATCTGTAAGTTAGCATTACAATTATAAAAGAAGCTCCAAAATTTCAAATGAACCAAACTTCTATAGTCATTTCTAGCTTTTTGTCTTTTCCTCTGATTATAATTTTCTCTTTTCTTTAAGAAACAACGAACAAACAAGAAACAGAATGATGGCCCAGAAACAAAAACTAATCTATACATCCAAGTCCTAGTGCTTTACATAATGATAACCTCTAATATCATTACCTATTGAACGTGGTAATTTCTCTCTACGGTAACTGTATTGAGAAAAATTACTGCCACGTCATACAAATATTTACACTGAGGGCCTAGGACTGTAGTCTGTCTGGAAGCCATCTATTGACTATAGCTGGTGAAGACAGCTAATGAACAAGATTAGGTTTCCTCCTTGTCTGAGACCTCTTTCACAATTGACTGCACTGCTCATTCATCACCTAGGTGAGGCTCTAAGTTCTTTAAGAGATCGAACTGCTTCCTGATGTGGGGTTCACATATAAGCTCTTGATTAGTGAGTTGATTAAAGGAATTTCCAAAGCTTGCCCAGTCTGACTGATGGTGGCTATTACAGCTGTAATGTGAGAGTTTTACTGAAAGGAGAAGACAAACAGATAAAAGTATGGCAAAGGAAGCTGCCAGTGTTGTGAAAAATCAAGGCTTGAGCACAAGTACAGTAGAGTCTGAAAATAGATACGGGGAAGCTCTTTTGTTGCTATGGCTTTTCTTTTTTTTTCCTTTTTTTCTCCTCAGCATGTACTTTTCCTTTCAAGTAAGAGTTATATGAAATCTAATGGAAGCAGAACTGTTGGTTTGATTAAAATAACAGGAAACCAAGTTAACATTAATGTCAACTGGAACAAATGTTTCTCTGGTTAATTCTTCCACCTAGGCAAGGCCACGTGGAGCTTGATTCTCCAGCTAGCGGATGGGACTGCCTTCAACTGGAAAAGATTTCCTAGTTTTAAGCTACAGTTAGCACAAGGAATTTCTCTTTCTGTCCTCATGAACCTGAAGTGGTTTGTCAAGTTTTCACTTCATGCATAGAGGCTTGTAAAATATTGTTGAGATTATATGGTATGACTGGAGAGTAAACACTAAGCACCATTGGAACATCACCTCCTGTCAGCAATTGCCATACACAGAATAGAAACAACTGAGTTGTCCACAGTTGTCCACATAAATTAATCTATGTCACACTGGAGCAGAAAGATTCCAACCATAAAGTTATAGAAATGCTGGTTGGAAGGAACTTCTGGTGTCACTTAGTTTATCCTCCCCCTGAATTTGCCCTGTGGATAACTCGCTTGTTTCTGTTCGCTGCGTGGTACAACTGGTGACATCTCCCCTGTGTGTGTGTGGCTGTATTGCACTGCTGCTACCTTAACCCACTCACCAGGGGGAAGTGTGTAGATCTATGAGCAAATAATGTGTTAACACAGTTGCTGTTGAAACGAAGACAGACCTGAACAGCTTTATCTTACTTTGTTTTGGCAAGACAATCCTCCAGCCACACTTGAAACATCCTCTGTTTTGGGAGCTTCTCTTCCCTCCACCCTGTCCTGACTTTCTGTGTCTGGGGATGGGTTTTGGCTTGTATAGGGATAAGCAATGTGTTACCCTGACTTCAGTGCAAAATTTACAGGAGATGGAACTGCTGGATTATTTCTGGTCTCGCTTTTGTCTGGTGTCAACTTAAGAGACTCTCTGCTAAACCACAGCAAAAATGACTTGTGGTGTACAGCATGTATACAGCTAGCCTATACAAAGATGTGCCCCCAAAACATTAAGTGTTCTCTTGGAGGTCTGTGGGGAAAGAATCATATTTTGTTCATTTTAGGAGGAAAGAAAAGAGAAAAAATATCAGGACGATCTCAGAAACCTCTTTTCTCCTCCTCACCTTTCTCTTCTTATCCAAAAAGAAGGCTGTCGTTAAATGGCACGAATGCAAAAATTAAACTGCTCCCTCATCCGCCTTCAGTAATGTGATAGATGTCTTTGTTAAATGGACAGCAGTGGAAAGGGGCAGCTATGGGTTATTTGATGCCACTCCTGTGAAGATGGAAGGTCGTGCTGGGGCTTTGCTCCCAAACAGAACTGAGAACCACCCATAGCCAAAGGAAAGGAGTAATCTTGCCAGTGACACCCTGAGCAATCAGGAGAACGTTCTCTTGCCCAAACTGTGAGTAATGAGTGTTTAACACAAATTTTGTTGAGAGGTTTCTCTGGCTTGCAATGTTATACTGATTTTTTTTTTTTTTTTTGCAGCTGCATGTCTATGGAGAAGAAATCCTAGCCAAGGCCATAAAACCAGGCTGCACGAATAGAAATGGAGATAGAACAACGCATGCATCTACTGCAAAGTGGGTGGTGTAAGCATGCTAGAGATTGGGAACCATTATTCAGGGCTGCTTTGTATTTACCTTTGCTTTGTCTCCTGGCTGGGAATCAACCAGCTGCTATTTGCTGACTTTAATGGAGCACCTGAGAGTGGACATGCCTTTTCCAAGTGTTTTGCCAAGCACTGGTAACACAATAGTTTATCAGTGCTGCTAAGTGCATTTTCCAAGGAATGAGTGCCCACAGGAACAGCCGAAAGTGGTCTCTGTGCTGCTCAACCCCTTCCAGGCTGCAGTGCTGTGTCCACCCCAAGCTTTGTTTAAGGATCCACAGAATCCATCCCATGGGCCACGTGTCTGCTTCATGAACCTCCCCCCCCACAGGTCTTGCTGCTGCCTGGCATCCTGCCCAGCACTGCTAGAGCAGACACTGGTGGAGAGCCAGCAGGACACACGGGGTCTTGCTAGTTGAGAGCATTGCTTCTGCTGCAGCAACGGGGAAAAATACCAGGTACCTACCTGTGCCCGTGTGCAGGCAGGTAGAGCCTTGCACAGAGTAAGGATGGGCTGGGGTGGCAGCCACAAGCTGGACTGCTCTCTGGCCCTGGAGGGAAGGTGAGCATAAGGGGGAACAGAGTGGGCACCATGAGCCCTGATGTTTTGTGGTTGAAGTCCTCTGGGGGAACTGGCCTGTGGACCAGTTCCCCAGGTCAGAACAGGAGGACGCGAAATAGATTCTTCCATTGAAAAATGCACAGAATGGCAACAGTAGGGAGCCAGCTTTTAAATCTGTATATAAACATCTTCTTAGATCAGACTACCACATGCTCTTATGCTTTTTTCTCTTCTTATGCCATTTTAACAAATTCACGCCTGTACCCACTGCAGTAAATGTAAAGAATTTGAGGTTATCTGCAAACCACAGGTCCTTGTCTTTCAGGTGTACTAAATACCTCTTCTTTTATAGACCAAGCATATTGTAGATTACTGAATTAACTGTGCTGTCTTTACTATCCACAATTACTCCCACAATAACTTAATTGCAGCCCTAAGCCCAGGTAATGGTGAATCTATCTATATTTCCATGTAACAGCAGTAAATATCTGATCTAATGAGGAAAAACCTCCTTGGTGGAGCAGTAGTACACACTTACTCAGCAGGCACAGCCCTGGCCAGGCTGCCAGCCTGCAGACGTGGCTGCACACAATGCAAGTGTCAGAAAATGCTGTTTTCCCGATGTGTAGGACCTCACAAACCTGTAAAACAAAACTCTTTGAGCAACACCCAGCCCCTAAACCTTGGCAATAGCAAACCCAGCTTTTTATTCACTCCATGTACGAGCTGGAGAGAGCTGCATGCAGCCTGACAGGGCTTGCAGCAAGGGTCTCCTGAGAGATGCCCTTTGTGCTGGAGGTGCAGGAAGCACCTCTGACCTTGATGGCCTTGTGAACTTCAGAGCTTCTGAAGTTTCTCCTTTTCCACACCCACTGCTTAGCCTTCCTCACTTTCACAGGTTACTGATCTCTCTCTCTCTCTTTATCCTTTTTTGCCAGGGTGGCATTTGCTGCCCAACCATGGCTGGTAACACTTCTCACTGGAGTTTTGGCACCCCTCCCCTCTCACTAGAGAGGAGCCAGCTCCCTTCCCTCATCCCTACACTCTGGCTTTCCTGCCTCTTCCTCGATGAACCAACTGCTCTGGCACCTACACCTCTTGCAAGCACCCCTACTTCAGCCTGTTACATGAGGAGACATGTTTTCTTCCTTCCTTGTGTCATTTATGTCGTTTGTGCCAAAACTTCCACAATAACATCTGCAGGAACACTTCTGCTCTTGAAGCATCAGTTATTGACTTTCAGATTTTAAGTATTTTCAGGCAGAGTGGTAGTACAATTAAAAAAAGTCTACAGCAATGCTGCTTGCAAATATTTCAAGGTTTGTAAATCTAAAACCTTGCAAATCTTTGTAGATTCTTCTTTTCATCAGCATATCTATTATCTGACCTGATATTTCTCATCACAGTCTCCCTTTGTTTTGAAAAGGAATTACAATCTTCTTCCATATGCTTTTAAAACAACAAATATTCTATTAATAAGATATTATATGAAGGCTATATGCATCATATTAGCCAATTTTTTTTTCCTAACTTCATGAAAGGAGAAACATCTTCAGGATCCTTATTTTATTTTATGAAACAAAGCAAAAACAGGCTAAAATTCCTAAAATCCCAGCTTTCTTTTCAGGCTGAAAGCAGGACCCAGACAACACACCTAATCCGATGTGCTAGCAAAGAGAGCGAGCTGACAGCCCACGTGGCTGCCCTGTCTCTCCTCAAGGATAGAAGTTGTTTTTGAAAGCCTCCATTGTTCTCTGTGCAGCATCCTGCATGTTATCTAGCTGTAAGTGCTATGCAAACACAAAGGTAACCACAGCACAAACACACCGTGCAACCTCTCCCCTCCATGCTGCCAAGCAACATTTTTATTACAAAGAATTTATTTTTTAAAAACAGAAGTTTAAAAAAAAGTCTCCTCTTTATTTCCCTACTTTTTCTTGTCAGTTTTTTTTTTTTTTTTTTTTTTTTTTCCCCACGGGCTTTGTTTTAATCTCAGTTACAGCTCACCTAAGGTTCTCCAGCCTTCAGAGGTTGTATGGCATTTAAACTCTTGCTGAGTTTTTAATTGGACCATGCCAAGTGTCCAGTGTGGGTTAAACTAAAGTCTTCTAATGTATCTTGAAGCACACTGTGCTTTCCAGGCAGAGTTCAGTGTTGATTTTACGTTACCAATTGATTTTGTTGTTATTCCAAGACAAACACAGCTATTCTAGCTGGGACCATTATCTTATGACCTTTGTGGGCTTCGTTAAGTTTTTGAACTTTCCCAAAGACATTGCCCTCTTAACCAGCAGCTAAGGTCACCCTAAAACGCCCCTCTATCTTCATCATTTTTTGTGCTCACCCAGGGGCTCAGGCTCTACTATTTATATTACTAGTGAACATGCAGACTAAAGGTATCACCTTGGCAGTCTTTTTGTTCCTTCTGCAGATGATTGTGGTCTTATTTCTGAGTAAAGCACCCTATCTTCAGAATGAAAGGATTCAAATCTCTCTATATTATTTGGAGATCAAATCTCCAAACGGCATCTCCATAAATGCCTCTTTCAACTGAGAGATGTCATGCAGGAAATGCTAGTTATGGCTTCAATCTACCTGTAGCCAGCTCTTGTATCACTGCAGTCCTGCCACTGTCCCTCTCCTCCATAAAGCACCAGATGTTTACTTGGCTTTTGTGTGAGAGATCATCAGCTCTTCAGGGACGCCCTCTGTCCCTGATTCACACTTTAATATATACAATTCCTATGCAAAGTAAGAACCTCACAAACAAAAAAATTAACCTAAACACTGTGCACATGCACAGTGCAATATTTTATATAGCTTTATTCTATTTGGTAAGGGAAGGAGAGCACAAGGCAATAATATTTAGGAGTAATGATATCAAAAAAAAAAAGAGGATGAAATGAGGGAAGCAATGGCTACTGTCTTGGCAATGAATTGATTGATCTCTGTAGTCTTTGGTATCTAGTACAACATTATTATTTTATTTGGTTGTGAGTAAGACATTGTCTCAGCATAGGATGACCTGGGGTCAGTTCCTGGTTCAGCCAAAGACTTTCTGGATGCCCATCAGTACGTTTAAAGTCAAGGTCTTGGCTCTCCTCTCTGTAAGAGCAAGTGGGAAAGTTTTATTTCCCAAATCCAAGACTATGGCGAGGATTATTCAGTAGTGATATGGCCCATGGTAAAGTTTACTAGCAAAATAAAGTTTAGCTCAATTAAAGAGGAACAAAGACAGAAATTTCCTGGTGCCTTGACAGCTCAGCAATACTGGACAGAGTTGTAACAGATCGTGGAAGTATAAACAAATTATTTGTGAGAGTACTCTGATGCTTTCAGGCTCCAGTTGTAGGAGTCTCAGTCGCTGTACCTAGATTTAATTCAGAAATGAATTTGCCCTTTAAAAAGAAGGGGTAAGATTTGAAAATACATTTGTTGCATTCCAGCAAGGAGTTTCACTAATAATAACAAAGACCAAGGACAGGGTTTTTTTTTGTGTGTGTGTGTTAGAGAGAACACTTTATTATTTCTCTAACATTCGTTGCTTTCTTTGGAATCCTGCTGAAATGTTTTTGATTACATACAAGTAGGAGATCAGTTGTAATAAGGCGTGTCATTGTTTCTCATCCATGTTTATAGCTTTCAGTTGTTGCCAGGCCTGACATTCCTCTCTGCGACTTTTGAACACCACTGTGATTTTAAAGAGACACTATCTGTAGAAACAACTCAAAAAGTTTGCACCCTATTCTTAGTTATCTCTTACTGGGAGTTAGACTAACTAGAATGCCTAAAGATGCCCAACATTGGTGTGTCTTCTTTTTAACTGAGTGTGAGTTTAACAGAAGTAAACCAGTGCTTGACTATTTCTAACAGCCCTCTCCCTGATCTTTAGACTGCAGTTCTTCATTCCTGTGCTTCTGTGTCTGTAGTTTGCTTTCTGTATGTTAACTTGCACTACCACTACTTTTATGCATGGAAAGTAAACTTATTCAGGCTTCTTGCTCTTTATTCATTCGTGGTGTATGCAGCATTATTGGGGTTAACAAGTTAGGAGATAAAGTTAGATTTTAATTGTCTGTTTTCTGTCATATTTTAAAATATATAAAAATATTTTTCTCAACATGACGTACTATAAATTCCCCTCCCCTATGTTGTTTTTGGACCTGGTGTATTTTTAAAATGACCTTTTAAAAAACAATAGTATTTTTCAAACCTCCTACTGGAATGCATTGGATTTGTATTATTCAAAGCAAATGTGAAGGGCCAACAGACCTATGAAAATGACCTGTGCTAGGAAAACAGGGTTGTTTGTTTAACTTCTAGGACACATTTTGTTCTGCATGCAGGTGTGTGACTTCCTGGGGACTCTAGCAGAACTATGCATCTACAAGCAGAATTTAGCTCCCTAATATCCAGAAATATGTTTGGACATGGTACAATGTCACAGTCTGGCTGTACATTTCTTCTGGGAGCTAAACCTTTGGCCAGAACTGTTGAAATGAATGGGGTTGATGCTCTCCTCTGTGAGGTCTCTGCTTAAAGGATTAGCCATACCCTTCTGGGCAAGGAGAGCTGTGGTAGCTGCTGTGCCAGCAGTTCAGGGTGGGGGCACAGTACAGATTCCTTTATTGCAGGAAGGGCTGTGAATGAATATGCCAAAGTTTTGGTTGCCATAAACGTCGCTTAGCTCCTCTGATTAGCAGAGTAATGCCAGATCATGTCAACTCATAATCCAATACACAGAGCTTTACATATTTACATATTCATGTCCAATTGGCTTAATGGACAATTTAACTGCTGGTTTGTTGAGATAAGTCTTGCTCACTAAAGGCATCAGACAGGGATTTTTAATGCTTCTTTTTCCTCTCCTAGGATCACATAATGGGAACAGCCTTCAGGTGTTTAGGAATTTGTCTCCTCCTGTTACCTATTTCCACATGTGCAGACATAGTCCGTCAGTTATCACACTGCAGGTATTTGCTGTAGGGAGGATGATGATTTCAACTAAAAGAATATGATCAGATGAATTCCTCAAGCAGCAATTATCCTAATCTTGCGTATACATATCTATTTCTTCAAAAATAAAGACACAACTCCACTCCCTTTACTATATTTAATCAACAGAATTGGTTTGAAAATGTGATTTTTCTTAAAATAATCACTGAATCACCAGCAACTAACTCTTCCAACAATTAGCAAAGAATGATGGATCTAAGTTCAACCCAAAGTGGCTGACATATTGCTTCTAGAGAAAACCCTTTCTGGACAGAGTTATCAATTCCAACAGCGACGTGAGCAAGGATGAGGAGAGCCAGGAATAAGGAGACATATGTAAAATCAAGTTTGTTTCTTTTGCTGATGATATCTCAAAGGAAAGAGGTTTAAGAACCAGTGAGCACATGAATATAAGTAATATAAAAATAGTCATTTTAACTGCCTTGGTGCTTTTACAGTGCAGGTGGTGAAACAGCTTCTTGTGCATACTCACGGTCTGGAAATTCTTATGTGAAGAAAAAAACAGGTGAAAAAATACTATGTCCTGAGCAGTGCACTTGATGCTTACCCACAGTAGAAAACTATTTGTATAAAACAATCTGAAAATAATTTGCTGCCAATCAGCATTTCAAACCTCTCTGTATAAATGCCTGTTATACTAAAGGCAATCTGAAACTCTGAAAAATGGTAAACCTAAATGAAACTTCACCTCAGCTGTCTTGAAGAATCCATCTTTGGTTATTTATACATTGATATACACAGTGACAGTGTGATTAGAATTAAAAACACAGGTCAGCTATCACAGGCCACTGAAGTCTACAGTCAGCCTCTTTTTTTCTGAGATACTTCCTGGTTTGTGATAGCAACACCAACCAGATGAAGATAGTTACATTAATTGATGTACTATCTCCTTTATCTTCAGTCGTGTTATGACTTGACTCAGTCTTTTAGTGAGTTATAGGCTTTCATGGTCCGGGTATTGATGAAATCTGTCTTCTTAAAGTCAGCCTTTGGAATGAAAGAAAGAATAATTAATTACCTTCAGTGCCAATTCTGCAAGGGAAAGGTGAGTTTACCTGCATAAAACTAGGTAGGGAGTCATGACAGAGGTCTAGGCAGACAGACAGAATATGCATCTCCCCAGAGTGACTCAGTTTAGACTAAGATAAGTGAAAAGGTCTTCTACAGCTCTCTCACGAGGGGTGCAGAGGGGCAGGCATGCTGTGCTCTCTGGGGATGGGGACAGCGACAGGACCCGAGGGCACGGCATGCAGCTGGGACAGGGGAGGGTCAGGCTGTGGGTTAGGGAAAGGTTCTGCACCCAGAAGGTGGTTGGGCACTGGGACAGGCTCTCTAGGGCAGTGGTCATTGGCTTTTGGGTGATCCTTGTGGAGCTAGGAGTTGGACTTGATGATTCTTGATTGAGTTGGTTTAATGAGTCTTCTTCCCTTCCAACTCAGGATATTCTGTGGTTCTATGAATTGTCGTTGGGAGTTGCTTAACTCTCCAATGACTGTATGGGCAGCCTATTCCTCTAGTTCAGCTCTACAGACTCGTAACTCTAGGTTGCTAATGTCACCTGAGATTAACTCTTTCTGAACAAAGAGTTCAGGACAATGCCAAAATGCCTCAGGATTGTATCAATCTCATTTGATCACATGATTTCCATTGGTTATTAGGCTGACTTTTAAAAAAATATCCAGACGTTAGGTCGCCTTAAGTTTTCAGTGCTGTACCTGGGATCTCTAGGGGCCATGATTCATACAGGAACAGCAAGGAATCAGGATTTTTGAAAATGAGATTAGACATATGTGTCTTATATGCACATCCAAAATACCAAAGACTTCAGAAAATTTGTGCCTTCTGGGATATTGTGTTATGGTTCCAGGACCCTTTTTCTTGAATGCAGATTTCTGGTTTGTGAGGCAGCATACTGCTGAGTATGATGCAAGACTGTAAAAAGATACTGTATTATGTAAATTTCCTTGAGCAAATTGGAATAAAAAATTTACAGTTCTTAATGTTTTTTTTTTTATTATTATTATTTTTATTTTTGTAAAGCTAGAAGCCTTCAGTTGCATTGTTACTTTGTTAAGAAACAAACTGGCTAACACGCTGAAGGCTGGGAAAATGGGATAATTTTAGGTTATTGGGAATTTTAGGTGACAAATTCTAAGCAGCAGGAAAATAGGGAATGAGTACAGCTTGAAATGCAAGCTGGAGGTAGGCAGGTTGAAGTCAACCCAGCTGTGCATAGAAAAAGCACTTATAGAGACTCAAAAGGAAAGAAACAAGTTGGTTTGTTGGCTGGCTGATTCATGCTGGTCGTTTTTTGTTTGATTTTGACTATGGCAGTAACTGTTTGCCAAACCTTTTCCTGGCTGTACCATTTTGTTTGGATATAACTAGTCCCTGGGCTTACAGAACATGCAAACAATAAGGAGAACAAAACTGCTCTGGGTTTAAAGCAAGAAGCTGCTTTGCCCTTCATTTGCTTTTGCTAGCATCTTATGCCCTCTGTGTCAGGTTCGTTCAGTCAGTGGTGGATGGACAGCTACTAAGCATTTTCTTCTCGCTATCTGATCTGGCAGGCAGCAGCAACATTTTTCATAAACTTTTCCAGTGCATATAAAACCACAGAGGGAGAGAATATGAACAAAGATGGGCAAAAATTAAGGGCATGGATTGCTTCTGCAAGATTTTCTGTAATCATCCCCTGCCATGGACAGGGACACTTCCCCCCAGACCAAGTTGCCCAAAGCCCCATCCGGACTAGCCTTGAACACTTTCAGCCACAGCTGCTCTGGGCAGCCTGTTCCAGTGCCTCTCCACCCTCTGAGTGAAGAATTTCCTCCTAATATGTAATCTGAAGTTTCCCTCTATTAGTTTTTAGTCATTATTCCTTGTCCTGGCACTATACTCCCTGACTAAGAGTCTCTCCCCAGCTTTCCTTTAGGCTCCCTTTAGGCTGTAAGGTCTCCCCGGAGCCTTCTTTTCTCCAGGCTGAACCACCCCAACTCCCTCAGCCTGTCTGCATAGGAGAGGTGCTCCAACCCTCTGATCACCCTCATGGCCTCTGGATACGCTCCAGCAGGTCCATGTCCTTGTGCTGGGGGCCCAGAACTGAACGCAACACATCAGGCGGGGTCTCACGAGAGGAGAGCAGAGGGGCAGAATCCCCTCCCTTGAGCTGCTGGTCATGCTATACATGAGTAAGAGAAACACCAAATTCAGAGATCCCTTGAAATCCTATCAAGTAATAGCGCAGAAGTGCTAAGAGCCACAGAGGTCAAATGAGACCTGAAATAGATCTGAAAGGACAGATTAAATGTTTCTGCTACAAGCCAGGTCTTACCTTTTTGTAAGCATTGTGGAGATCAGTATGTGACCACAAGGAGCAGAGGAGGACCGAAGCAGCCTTACTAGCTTTGCTGAACATGTTACTGCAGTTTTGAAAAAAGAATGATAAAACGTTTAAATTCCCACTTCATAATCACAGTGCATATGTAGACTTCAGAATATGTAACCTCGTAGCATTTGTTCTGTCACCCTTTCCTCTTAAATGCTGCTTTCTTGCTCTTTAGGCATTCTAGCGCACCTCGTGCTGTCCTGACTACTGAAGCAAATGAAATGTACCTTCCTGCTTAACTTATTCTGCAAAATTATAGATAAATGAAGTACTCTATAGACTTAATCTTAGAAAAGCTATCATATTAATTCAAATTCAGTTGAGGAAAATAAACCTCAGAATAATAAGTATTCTAAAGGATCTTCCCAGCAGGTAAAATATCTAGCTAATTAGACAGGATTAATACTGTTCAGGGCCTCATGAGGCTTCCTTTAATGAGATGAATTTTCTCTTTCTTTTTGTACAGAGAAGAAGGCAAACAAAATAATTGTTCATATTCATAAAACATTATTCTTTTTTTGTTATTGTTTGAATATTGGTTACATGTGATTAACTATTAAAGAATGATTGAAGAAAATTCACAATCTATTATCCATAATGCCACTTTATAAATAATTCTTAAGTATGGTTCCATCATTTCTATAAAATGTATTATTGTGCTAACAATTAAAGATTATCAGGGCTGTGTTACAAAGAATAGGAAATAAAGAAACTTTCTGGGGACAGGTAAAATATGACTGTCTCCAGCTAAACATTAGAATACAGTTAGTATTGTGCAGTCATCTTTGGAGGTGCTATTTCAGATGCTGGAGCATGGCAAATTTACCTGTGGATGAACCAATTGTTACAAGAGATTTTTTTGTATTTTCTAATATGTGTATCTTATTCACAATGCAGTCATTTTTAAGCTGCCTTGTACCTTAAGACGCAGTGTTTTCCTCCTAGGTAGCAGAGGTTGCAGTTCTTTTTTTTCCCCAAGGGAAAAGAGGAAGAGGAGGGGAAGGAGGGAAGGCTTCTCAGCCATCTTACCTGTCGTTCATGCTAATCGTAATGATCTTCGGTATACCATCAGCATTCAGGAGAAGCCGTGCGTTGTGAGAACTGTTCTGTGTCAAATTATACAAGGTGTAGCAGATGGAAGCTGTGGTTTCACAGGCAATATCAGACCCTGGGACAGACTCAGGAAGTATCGAGACCAAATCAGGCAAAACTTCTCTAGCTATAAGTTGGAAAACAGACAACTCCATTATTAGCGGGTACAGATTTATCTAGGAATCCTGCAAGACATCAGTCCTCCCATTATCACCTGTCATGGTGCTGTCTACTCCCCCCAGAAGGTCATGGTTTCGTAGCTGCATTATATCCCCACAGTTTAGGTTAATGCCTCCACACAAAATTTTACAGTGGCTGCCACTTCCTGAGGAACCATGTGCATCCTCTAGCTAATCATCGGGTTACAGGTATACAGCAAACTGAGGGAGGGTGACTATAGCACGAGTTTTTGTGGGGGCAATGTGGAGACCTGTGCCATATGGACCAGTCCATGCCCAGAGCTGGTGGAGAAAATTACAGCGGTCAGCAATTGGTTGTGACCAGTTGATCCCCATGTAAAAAGCAGCACCAGGCAACAGTTGGGGGCATTTTGGAAAAGGAGGTGCTTTTTGTACTCAGCATGAGGCCATGATGGATATTCTGTCCTCTTTATCCAGTTTGCCACTTGGACTGCGAACATTTTGTTCGCTCTGACTTCTGCTCATTCCTTCAGGTGGGTGTGTAACAAGGTTTGTTTATATTGAGATAAAATCACATACAATTTAGAATAGGACCTTTAAAACTGAATGAGACACCTCCTATGATAAATATCAGTCAAAGCAATTATGTCAGAGATGATAGTCTCTTTTTTCATTGGTAAATCAAGTAAATTGATTTTAAGAAAGCAGTATCTTGAAAATGTCTGTATCTTTACATCTGGCAGTGTCTTGAATATGTCTGTTCAGAACAGGCTATTTTTTTCAGATCAAATAAAAAAAAAAATCTCATTTTCCAATCATTTTATTTTCACGTTTTATATGAAATTTAACTCAAACTGGTATCATATATTCATTTTGCTTGCTAAATAGAAACACTTTTATTTAAGAAACATTACGCTCTTCCTTTCTTTCGGCCAACATTATTTGGATAATTTGACCTGAATCCACATATGTCAAAAATATGTGGATCCACAGTCAATCAAAAATAACTCCTTTCCATGGAGAAAATGTTCACCTGAAATTCCCCCAGTTCCTTCTACCGTGTGTAAAGAAAGAAAATGACTGTGAAGGTGAAGCACCTTTCTCCAGAGCTTCATGCTACTTTCTTCAGAGCTTCTGCATTTTCCACCATTTTTTATAATTTTTTTTTCCTACAGAAACCCTGACTTCATCCTCTCAGGTTACTTCCTACTCTTTCAAGAGGATTTACCACTTGCAATTTTTAACACCATATGTATTATACTTTTGAAATCAGCACAACAACGTAATATAATATTTTCATTAATTGGAATGTTTTGTAAAGATTAAACAGTGCCAAGGAGACTGTTCTGCAGACTTCTGGAGGTTAACCTGTCCCATGAACAAGCTGTAGGCCTGTAATTTCCCCTTCCCCCTTTGGTCACAGAAAATAACAAATGATGTGAATGTACTTATCCTATCAATAGGAAAAATATTCAAATATAAATTAAATTGAAATGAAAATACTCAGAATAGAAATGTCTTCTGATGTGAAAATAATTGTAATGTTTTAGAAATAAAGCCCTCAAAAAAACCAACACAATTATTTTCTCTGTAGCATCTTCTAGCTTCATTTTCTGAAAAGTTATACAAGATAAATGTGCAAGAGACAAGCTTCTAAAGTTTTATGTATAAGAGAAGAAAATACGATCTTTGCTAGAAGAACTGGAGATGTTCCACGATTCTTACAAAGGACTATATACCTGTGGCATACAGAACAGTTACCTTCCTTTACCCTATTTTAAGCAGAAGAAAAACTCCCTGTCCAAATCTGTGTAGATTTTATGTCTATTATTTATTTGTTGAAAGTAACATCAATAGAAGTATCTGATGAGGAATACACAATGTACAGAAATCTACAGGTTAGATTATTCCATAGGCAAATCTTTAACACTGCATAAGGACTGCAAGTATCTGACATAAATAGTTACCTACTAAACCCACATAACATTTTTTTGAATGTTTCTTTATTAAAGAAGGAAAGAATAAGTAAGCAGAGGAGAGAAAGAAAGCCCAAGAGACGATGTTAGTCTTTGCTCACCTATATCATTTTGCAGAGAGGTGTTGCGAGACAAGTTCCTGAGCAGTGATACTGCTGTCTTCTTTACTGCCGGGTGGCTTACATGCAGCATAGTTCGAATACTTGGAAGGCCATTTGCTTTCCGAACAACAGTCTGAGCCACTGCAAATGGCATCTGTTGTAACGTACATGGCAATAATATGTCATTATGATGAATGTATAGCCTCATAAATAACAGCAGTAGGTTCTCTGCATCATCTTAAGTATATTTAAATTACTTTAGATCTGATGCTATGTATGAGTTGCAACAGAAGAGGAAGGTGATATAAATCAAGTTTCAAGCCCTCTGTTTCCCACATGCTCTTTGGCCAGTTCCTAAGCCAAAACATGACAAAGGTCATCAGTTTCTTCACCATGAAAGTGATGTGTGGCTGTGTCAGAGACTTATTCTCCCCATGGGACTGATTACGATCCATAAAACCCCTCTTTCACAATTTTAGCATCAACTCATCCCTCACTGTACAATGAATTAGCAAATTCCATACACAGACAGAGTGAAAAGAAGTGATCCCTGTATTTGCCAAGCAGGAAATATCTGCAGTGCTGGTTATGACTTTCTTTTCAATGTTCTTTCATTTCATTGACTGTGCCTGGGAATCAGCGGCTTGTCAGTGGTTATCTGAGCTCAGTGCTGTGAACGTTGCATTGCAATCCTATACTCTATGCATTTACATTAAGAAAGCAGTGACAGAAAAAAGAAAAAAGCTGCCTTACTGGTCCAGTGCCAGCTGTGAGGTTCTGAAGAGCTCCCAGAGATGCTTCCTGGGTATAGTTTCTGGTACTCTTTGCTATTAAAGAGAGATATATCCTAATCAGTGTCGAATGCCAGAGCGATTCCACACCCCTGGGATTGCTCCTTTCCTCAGGTAGTGGGGTGTCCTGCTGCTTCTAAACATACAGACAGATCAAGCTGTTAGAATCATATATGACATATGACATAAAAGATCACAATCTAAACTAGCAATTTTGTAACTCTATGACCAGATGATTTTGCAGAGATTACTACAGACTACTTTTGTCATAAGAATGAAAGTCAACATTAATGTAACACAGATATTTCTTAGGCAACTTGTAAGATTTCAATATTTAATTGTACTGACTATTCCAGCCAAAAAGAGAAGACAGATAGGGAGAGAAGCTGCTTTGCATCTCTAGCTATTGATATTGGCAGCTGAGCTGAAGGAGAAAGAGAAATAGCATGCTAGAGCCCTACTGTGGATGTAACAGGGGAAGAAGGAATACACTCTAGCAAAAATAATGGATGTCCTTTCAGTCCTTTCCTTTCCCTTTCTCCCACCCCAATACCTGTTTTTCTCTCCACCAACTCCCAGCTGCCAGAATATTTGAGATCCATACCACATTGCATCAGAAGAAGAGATCCAAAAGCCAGCAAGCCATGGAAGCTGGCAAGTCACCCTGTGTTGGTTTCACTGCTAAAACTTCCACAATGCCCAGCCATTGGTAGGACACTTGCACAATTGCTGTACATGGCACAGACACCATTTAGATCCATCAGAAGGGATTAAACTGACTGACAGTATCCCTTAACTAAGGAAACTGTGATTGCTTTGTCACCTGCACCATCAGCAACTGAACACGACAATGGGTGTTTGGAAAGGCTATTGATAAATTTACATTTTTGGGGTGAGTCACACTACTGGATACATCACCAACAGAGAAGCAACCAAAGTAGATCACAGCCTTATTGTCCAGAAGTTGTTACAACTGATTAACCAAATGAGATGTAAGGAAACACGTGCTTTACCTCTTTCACTTTTCTGCTCCGTGTTCCAAAACAGCCGGGTGTTCTGTCATGGGTAGGGATATTTCTTCTTTGCATATAGATGCTCTGGGCATAGCTCTCAGGGAGCTCTACCTCTAGTTGGTAGGAAAGATTGTGAAGAATGCACACACAATTCTCTGTGGCCTAAAATAGAAAAAGAATAGAAATCTTGAAAGCTTTGGCATGTTTTGAAGGGGCATGTGTAGACATGGGGAGAACTTTCATTTTTGGATCTTGAACAATTAACTGCAGATCTTCTAATGGCTTACAGAAGAGCTTGTCTTCATGCCAGTGATCCACAAGACTGTATTTACACCAAGAAATTAAACATGTCCTGGGATGTTCCTGAGCGCTGAGGCCAACTGGCACAGACGGTTGGGATCAGAGCAGGGTGCATGCCTGCTGGAAACGGTCCTGACACATTATAATTCTTGAATGTAACTGGGAATTGTTAGGACATGTGCTATTTGGCACAGACCAGAAGTGTGCCAAGGAACGTATAGGAACTTAAGAGCAAAGATGATCACGTACACACCCATCCATAATGTCAGCAAAAGGAAAACTTTGTGTTTTACCCAAGGATACTGCATTTTTCTGTCATAGATTTTTTTCCCCCTCAAATCAGATGTGCCTTTCTAGACGTAGCTAAGGTCAAATTGACAATTTCTGAGTGATGAGTTTAATGGCAAATAGTTTTATTACCATTTCCTCCTTTTTTGAGAGTGAAAAGGGAGTGAGTGATTTTAAGATAAAATGCAGCAGGGAGCTATTGGCACAAGGGTTATGTGCTGGATTCTCCCTGGAGCTAATGGCACTGAATACAGGGATATGGAGAAGCTCAAGTAACTAATCCTAGGAAAGAGCTATAAATGTACAGTAATTAACACTGTACAGCACAAGTTATAGCAGGCATGCCCAAAGTGCCTCATAGGCTGCAGTTAACCTCCTCAGTGACTGATGGTCTTCTCACCTAACGGCACCCAGCTGAAAGACAAACATTTAGTCTAAGCGATGCTCAGGGCTCAGTTGCAGTCAGTGGTGGGAGGAAGAGAACGAGAGGAACTGGCTTCTGGAGGTGTCCCTGTCCCTGCAGTTACTGGCTTAGGCAGAATGAATAACTTTAAAAAAAAATAGGAAAATGAACCCCATTCAAAATGATAAAAGCTCCTAAATTACACTGTCAGTCAGATTTAGGCTCTTCATTTCCTAAGGGATATATAGCACTAAATATATAGGAAAGTGCCCAGATTAATTTTTTAAAACTACTAGCTAGCTAGCTCCCTTAGACAACTAAAAAGGTATTATCTAAATCTTTAAAAGTTTCTAGTTCTCTGTGGTGATTCTGAAAACTGTTTTCCTACAGCTAAGCTACGTTATTCTTTTACACAGTAGGATAAAAAACACTTTTAAAAGCTTCTTTCTGAACTTTCATCTTTGGTAGTTCTAAAAGCTTTGGAAATAAGTGCAGGCTTGGCAGCTATATCACAACTGTTTCTGCAAACTGGTTTCTGAACAAAAAAATGCTCTCTCTGTGATTTCCCCCAGGAAAAGACCTTCCATCTTGAAGAATACCTTGTCATTAGGCTCGTGGTCTGCAATAGCTCCTTGAATGTAATACACAAGAGAATCAATCAAGCCGTCACAGTCTCTCATCCTTTGCCTTCCTTCTGGGCCAGCAGAGCTCATGTTTCTGTGCAGGAAGGAATACATCGGTAAGAAGAGATTTAGGCAAAGATATTTCCTTGTGCCCCTCTGATAAACTATTCCAGATAAATCTTAAAATACTGAAGTTAAGAATGACTGTTTTTTTCTTCTGCAGAACTGTGAAATAGTATGAGCCTCTAAGTAAAACTTCTACTTTAGTGGATTCCCAGATGATAACAAATAACTAAGAAAAACAAGCTGTTTGGATGGATAAGGTACGACCTGACTCAAATCTCCATCTTGTTGAACTGATCTTTTTAAGCAACCTGGTTCAGTGGGAGGTGCCCCTGCCCACGGCAGGGGGCTTGGAAGTAGGGGATCTGTAAGGTCCCTTCCAACCCAAACCATTCTATGATTTTCCAAACAAACAAATTGGACTTTTCTTCTTCTTCTTTTTTTCTTTTTCTTTTGTCCATTATTCCATTTTTAGGTATTTGTATATATATGGGACATCAGCTATGTCAAACTATCAGGAAATGTACCTATAAAAAAGGTCCATGCATACAAATGTCCTGTAGCATTTACCTAAACCCAACCAATTCTTGAACACCCCCCAACAGACACACGTTCTCAGTGTTTTAGCAACATCCACACATTAATTGTAAAAGCTCTGGAAAACAGAAAAAAAGCTGTTTCTTTATATCCTAAACTCATTCATGTGCTTGTAAATAAACCACAGAATAAAGGCACCTTTTCTCAACTTAAAGATAACCTATTTCAGTTACGGACCAGGTTCACACGGCAACTCGTGTCCTCTTAGAGAGGAAGTGAAGGCAGCCGAGCCCACGGAGAGAGCTTGGGGCATCTGTGTGATGCCCATGTCTTTGGAGATACCAGGGTCCTCAAGGTCCAGTTAATAGTTTCTGTGTCCCACTGAAAATGCACTCTCAGTGCAATGATTCCACTGCCCCTGTGCTACTCCTTGTGCTCCTGCAGAGCTTTCAGCAGAGAAAATGTGCAGGGGTGAGGAAGAGTTAAAAGCACACCGCACTCTGCTGCTTCCCAGCTTCCCAGAGCAGCCTTCTGCCTGCTGGCACCTAAGCAGACGAAGCTGAAGCCTCCAGAAACTGCTCAGCCTGAGTGGGGAAAATGCCAGATGCCTTCTGCAGATGCCTTCTGCTGTTGCACCGCAGTGGCTCCAGCATGCCTGAGCACACTTTCTGCCTCCTCCCGGCTCACAGGAAGCCACTGCTGGCCCTGCTTTCTGCTGACTTTTCCTGTGCTTTGTGGTAACCCGAGTGCAGCTTGAAAATGAATGATGAAAGTGATTTAAAAAAAACATGAAAAGCCAAGGACACACTTCCTGTATGAAGTTTGGCTCTAAATAAGCTCCTGATTTTCGGGGAAGTAGCAACATTTACAGTTTTGAGGTATAATTTTTACAACTGAACGACCTCTGAATTATGGAATGCTGCAATTGTAAATCTAGGCCTCATTATTTTGGACTCCTGCTGCTCTGCTGGCCAAAAGGCTGCACACAGTATCACATTCCTGCTTCTTTGTTTGAAATAACATTAAATACGGCCCAGTGTTAGCATCTATCACAAACAAGAGGGTCATGCACTTTAAATATTTGCAGGGAGTTTATTTTACACACTTACTTTAACCACTGGAAATTACAACAGTTTAAAATGTTATTAATGACAAAGCCAGGAAGGCATAGCTTTAAATTTTCCTGTGGCTTACTACTGTAAAATGCATGTGACTTTAAATACTGCCAATGCAGTTCTGTACCCACAGACCCTGGGAGGTACATCTTTAGGTTAAATGCAAATGCACTGTAATTTTAGTTTTACTTTAGGTCATGCTAATAATATGCTTAATAATGTCCCTATTTATGAATTCATTCATGTTCTCATGGAATTACATATCACAGAATTAACATTCAGGTTCCTGTATATGGCATCACTTTGTAATTTAATTTTACCTAGAGATGTCACATTTGAGACATGTCATGCTTTAGTGAGTTTATGGTTATGCTGACAGAAATGTACATGCTACAGCCCTTCTAGTGCATAGCATAAATAGTTTCTGAGGTACACAGACTAAAAATACCATTAAAAGATAAGTGTGGAATTTCCCACACCAAAGACACTTCTGCTGATATAGCACTTCATCTTGTCACAGTACATTATTCTAAAAATCACTGAAGTTTACACAGCTGTGATCATGCTGAATGGCTCTAAAAGGAAGAGCCATCACTCAGCCTTGTTTCTAGTGCGATTGTGGTGTGGCACACAGTTTCATAGATCAGGAAGCAGAGAAGGGTATGAAGCTGAGGCACTGTCCTGCTCTGCAAGGGAAATGCATTCCTGAACTGTTTCCTTAAGTAGTTGATCCTCAACTGTTTATCCATCCAGAGACAACACCACATGTATCCATGTCTATGCATGCATATATGGCCACTTCATTCTCCATCTCCCTTTCTCTCCTTATTACCACAACGTAGATTGGGAAGGGAAGACCTCTTACTCTCCCACATGTCCAACTACAGTTGGAACCATTTTACTCTGAATAGGGTCAGATTTAGTTCTCAAGGCAATGGGTTGGCAACTGAAGCTTTTTTTTCTAATGAAATGGTGGGAAATTCTAGGAAGAAAATGTTATTAGACTAGGAAAAAATGTTTCTGAGAAGCCTCACATAAGAATCAATTGCTAATAAAAAAAAAATCATTTTGAAACAATGGCAACATTTAGCTTAGCAAATTGGAAAACCGACTTCATCCTGCCTTCCCAAGATTTTTGTCTCCTGACAACTGTAGCACCTCCCTCTGAGTTTATGAGTTGGACTCTCTTGTAGTGGAGCTCCCGGAGGTCTTGAAATGTGCATCACTGGGGCAATTGCCATGGTTGGACTGGCCCAGAATTGCAGCTCCTGGCAACCTCATGGTGAGACTCCAGGGCTACCTAGAAATCTTCAAGCCTGTTATGCAAGCTTGTTTTACTTTACTTTACTTTACTTTTACATACATCTGTGGAAAAAAGAATCAGCTGGAGTCAAGATCAACAGTCTTGTAGAAAATCTCTTCTGCTACACAATTCCTGATACTTCTGCCTTGCATCAGTACTGAACGGTTGGGAAGATGCAGCATTAGACAGATTGCTGCTTGCAGGGGCTCTCTCCTTTGAGAGCCTTAGAACTTAAGCTTTGATATCATCTAGCCATTAAAAATCTCTGACTTCTGGCATTCTTACATATGCTAATCCTGGTGACATGCCCAAACAATACTGCATGCTAAAGTGGATACATGTCACTACCTACATGCCTCGTTCATCTCACACTGAATTTGCTGCTTCTATTTTCTCCTGCACATGCATATGGTAGAAATATATCTGTGTCTGAAGTAGGCATTCACCCTTATTCCAGTGGCATTTATGGAGGATCAGCTAATTCCATGTCAGGGAATATTTTATGATCCAAGTGAGGTAAGTACAAAGAATTGTAACACAGTAAAGTCAAGCATGATTTTGATAGAAGCAGAATGATAATATATGTTCAGTTACACTGCAAATTTAACCAAATGAAAGGGATACTTCCTTTAAGCCAGCACTGAGTAACATTCTGGCAGACAATGTTGGAAAAGGTTTTTGCACTGCTGTGAATGATCCATACTACTGATAAGAAGAAGGCTTTTGCTCCTGGGACTCATCCTGCCAAAACTGGTAATTTGAATTTAACTCAATTATGTGACAACAATTTCCTGAAATAGTTCAGGAAATTGTATTCACTTCATGCCTTATGCAATTCAAAAATGCAATGGGAAGGGAAAGGAATCCAGAGATCTACACAGTAATGCTAGGCTGCAAGCTGCTGGCTGGAAATAACAAAATTCCTTTCAGGAATGGGGGGAGCAGACAGACCAAAGAGTAGACAAGAGAAGATAAGAACAGATGGAAATAAACCTAAAGGAATGGCTATGCTATGCAAAAAGCCTAGGTTCAAAGACTTGTTATCATTAGTCATTTGTTTTACAACCTTGGCTAGAAGCTCCCATTACAAACTTGATCTGCCATTACACTTCTCAACCAACATTAAGAGCTTTTGCCTTACTTATCTCCAGATAAAATGGAACTGGATTGTTATGCAGCCTCCTTGTCTGAAGTGCAATGATACTACTTCCTCAGACAACAGCTTTCCACCGTCTTTAAAGAGTCCCTGTGTAATATAAAATAAAACTGGGACAGACAACAGGTGAAAAGCAGTGATGCAAAACAAACTGTAGTTGTGGTCGTTAGCTCTTAAAAAATATTTGCATGAATAATTGTGATCAGTGAACATAACTTTTGGAAAGATCAACCCTCCAAGGCAACACCCAGGACAATGCTCCCTTTAGCTGCTTCAGCAGAACAATCACGTTCTGTCCCTGAGTAACAGAGACATCTTACATTCCCAAACTTTGGGAACAGGTATTTCAAGGTAAAAGTGTAACAAGATCATCATCAGCATTCAAAGTATAACAGACAGCCTTCTGCTAAGCCTTCATTTTAATTCACAGGAAAAGTCATGCCAGAAATTCAATTACGTATAAATAATATACAAACCCACATATTCTGCATCTTACTTTTTCAGACTTGGAGGAAGAGTATGGAGGAGGAGGCTAAGTATCTCCAGAATACGTAGCCAATACGGTTCTATTGAAACTGGAGACAGAACTGTTATGCATACTATTTTCAGGCCAAGAAAGAGTGGCTTTTACTTTAAAATCCAACAAGAGTTGTCTTGTCTGCAAAAAGTTCACACTACTCCCCTCCATAGTTTAATATGCCAATTTTACTTATTTGGCTTGTTGTCAGGAAACCAGTGAAGTCTTTTGACTTGTTTTACACTGCCTGCTCAGGGCACAGCGTTTTTCTAATCACATTTCAGAACTGAACAATACTGTTATTTATTCTAATTGCTAATGTAGAATTGTGTGGTGTACACTGCTACATTCTGGTCTTTAAAGTTTTGTGCCCTGCAGTTTCCTTAAAACTGTCAGAAGCAAAACTTTGGGACAAATAACAGATCTTAGAGAATGGGATTAACAAATCCTTCCAACATTGGACTACCTTATCAGTGAGTGCATACACAGACCCAGGCAGCTGGCGTTCAGAATTCAACAATATTTCTTGCAGTCACAGACTGGTTAGCAGAACAGGGAGTGTTCTGGTTGTTCACTCATTCCAGCAGTAGTATCTGCAATATCATCTGCTAGATGGGGATTCACTTTCCTCTTGACACTATGTTAAAGAGAGCTTTATTTTCCTAGCTGTTAATTTTGTGGCACAGTGCCTACAACCATGTTAGATGACAGTGTTGGATTTGGACTGTGGCTGTCTCTGTCAGTCAATGGTTATATGCAATTTTTTTAAAAGAATTTTTGGCATCCTTCTATACCTAAGCACTGTACAATGCATAATATATTGTACTTCAAAGTACTATTTTTATCCTGTAATAGAAGCTGCAGGCTATAGACCTTATCAACATGCACAACAAACATGTTAGTATTACAAAAAAGAAGACTAATTACAGATTTATATTCTGGCACATATCTACACTTAAAACATCTTTATTACTAGCATCATTCCCTCAATGCACAGATTTTTTTTTTTTTTTTTTGTGGTTTGCTGTTCTTAGTTTTCAGAGCTTCTTTGTACAAAGACTTTTTTAAGCAGCACATAAATTAGGAATATAGTTGGTGATACTTTGGGAGGTGTGTTAATTTCCATTAAATAGAAGCATACTGATTTGTGCTAAAAATATTGTATTTTTGGTCTGTGCAGAAATGATAAACCTCATCAAAAACTATTCTGTGATAGGAAGTATGTTGCCAATCCCACAGATCAACTTTAACTGTGAATTTTCAAGACCTTGTTCTCCTCTCAGTTATCACTTTCAGTGTTCAAGCATTTAAAAATGACAAGGACAAGCATATGGACATCATATTTTTTAAATAGGCAATGTATCTTTGGGAAAAGGTCAGTTTGAGAGACTTTTCAATTAAGGCTACAGAACCAACTGCAGCTTTGAATTAGCCCCATTCACTTTCTGTATAGAGTTAAGGTATGTTCAGAATCCACTTTTATTTGATTTTAAACAACCCAGCTACTGTTATTCCTTGTTTGTCACAAACCAGGTCATATCAAGTTGCTTCAATAAGCTCTGAAAGAGCAATACCATGCTAAAACTATGAATAACTGTGTGTCCCCATACACTGGCTTGCTGAGAAGAGATGGTTCCTGAATCCAAATGCAGGAGGAAGTAGCACCATCACGAGTGGCACATCTGACAGCCAGACTGTTCTCTGTACATATACAGCTCAGATTAATTAATACGAAAAAAAAGACGATCTGCTTCATTTCAGAGACAACATCACTAGTCAGAAAGATTTTGTTATGGCTAGTTAATGTTTCTCTGAATTTGTTTTTGAGCTATGGGAATAAATAAAAGTTAATTATTACTTAAAGCTGAAGTTAATCAGTAGTTGGTGGGCTGTCAGGGGTTACTGCAGAAGAAGATGCTTTATTGTTGAGTGTTTTGTATAGCTAACAATCCTTTTGTCCTTTGAAACCACCCATGACTCAGACAAAGGACTGTTTACACAGTACAAATTCATGTAATACAGCTAGACCTACTCTGCTGTAGGACATGTTAGCAAAACAGACAGATATGTGTTAAGGCAAAACTGGGCAGCTTTCCAGCCTCTAAATTCCAAACTTAATTCCTTTTACTTTTCTAAGAAAAGTTTAAAACTTAGGCCATGCCTTGACTCTCATATCATTACACATTACTTTTTTCAAACTATGGCCTTTCATGTAATCAAAAGGCATGTGTCTTTGATACCCACATTTGTATTTACGTAACATACAATCACTTTGAACTCACAAAAAAAGACAAAGGGCCACAGTTTAATAGATTGTTATTTTAAAAGGCGTATCCTGTTTTAAAGATGTGACTTTTATACTGCAGTCATTTAGGGGTGGGTCTGCTGAGGCCTTTTGTACTCTGTTTCTCTGTACTAGCTGTTACGGTGTTCATGACGCTGTTACCTGATTGCAGCAGTAGATGCACACCTGTAAAACTATTCATCAACCGTTAGGCAGCCTGGCCTTGAACTAGTTAAACTCGTGCACAAAACTAAACATGACTTATTTTTATTTAAAAATGACTATATCCTAATTTAGCCATTTTCCAATCAGCATAACCACAGGTTGTGATACACTGAAGTAAGCGTCTTTGGCAGTAGTTGAAAACCGAACACTCCTCTGTACTTCTTTGTTCCATGTCCCCTTTCCAAGTCCTCTATTTAGATAAGAAACAATTATGGCTAGGGATTAACTCTTACTGTGTACTTAGCCAAAGGATCTTTGAAGATGGTACTGCATATAACTGTTAGGTGTGGTTTATATGCCACATATAAAAAAGAGTGATTTGGCTGCTGCTGAGCATGTTCTGCTTACTACCCAAAGGACTGCTCCCATTCCTGGTAAAGCAGGTAAGACTCAGCAGGCACTACAACAGGTCTAAGAGGTAAGCAGAATTTACCCAGCATAAATGGCATAATCATTGTTGTCCCAATAATATCTAATGTAGATGTAAATGAAAATGACTTGCTCAATCTCTGGAAAGAAAATTCCAGGTACACAAGCAGTTCAGTTGTCTCACTGATGGTCCTATGACAACACAATTAATCCTTCAAGTATATTAGTCTCACAGTAGCCCAAATGGAAGCAATAGGGCTATTCAACACCGAAGTACAATAGGGAAAAACTGTAAGAGAAAGCTGCCTTCCCTCTTTTTTTTGTTTTGTTTTGTTTTGTTTTGTTTTGTTTTGTTTTGTTTGTTTGTCTGTTTGTTTGTTTTTATAGGAAATACTAATGCTCCTGGCTGTCCACACTTAGTAATCCACTGCAAATGCTGTTAACCACTGCTTGAATAAAACACAAGACAGCAAATTTCTGTTGAGGCTTTAAAAGTCATCCACCAGAGCAATGGCTTCTAAAGTGGGGTGCAGAATTAAAATATTTTTAGGCCATTAATAATTAAAATAATATTAAAAAATAGCATTAATTCCATCTTTATCTTTTAGTTATTTACTTTCTATCATTGAGTACATTTTATAATGTACATAACATATTAGCACAGTAGTATGTTTATATAATTTATATATAAATAAATATACTGGGTAGTGTGCTCAGAAGTTTTTTTACTGATATGGGCGTGTAATCAAAAAAATTTGGAGACCAGTTCATTAAAGTCCTAAAATAACTTTAAATGGTTCCCAGAGGCTTAAAGTTTCTTTTAAGTTACTGTTAGCTTTTCTCAAATGCTAATTTGTAGTACCATTCCTACAACTTTTTTAAAAAGCTTTTTTATTATTACTATCATCATCAGCCAGGAGCCGATTTCATACATCATATCAACAACTGTTATTCAGGAAAGATCTCTCTGACTTCAGTGCAGCTATGCACGGCAGCTAGGGCTCTGATTACTATCTTCTGTTATGGGTATAAATAGCCTGCAGAGTACCCATCAGATCAATATAGAAGAACCTCACAAAGAAAGCTGTTTTTACTGTAGCAAGCAGTAATTCTTCTGGTCTGACACAAAGTACATGAGGCATTTCAAAATATGAGCTGTATGCAAACCCTTCTCTTGGTGCCATCACAGTTCAAAGCACGAAAGAAAGTGTGCAGGTCTGTTTTAGCACTATTATTTTGGGTACTTGTAGACTGAGTGCTCACCTCAGGCATCCTGTGGCATTGTAGAAGATATCAGGGTCAGACAGAACACTTGACTTTGGGTAATCTCGATCTGGCCAGCCAGAACAAGGGATGAGAACAGCTTCCGTCAAGGTCTGAAGGGCTTCTTTAACCAACAGATGCTTCAGCTGATCATTGGAGGACAAATTCCACAATAAACCTGCAATATCCAAAGTAAAATCAGAGTGGCAGAAGACTCTCCCAAAGTCTGCAAGACGTAATCTCAAACTCCTTTAAGTTAATCAGTGAAGGAGCCTGTCTGGCTCTTGACATCCTCAAGAGGAACAGAAGAGGGTGATAAGAGCTCACCAGTCACCATGACACAATACCACACAACACCCTACCATGTGTGATTGCACACTGCTCAGTCTTTAGAGTCACCAGTGAGAGTTGAGAGGCTTTTTTCTTATTTTCTCTCATGAGATAAGCACTTTGGCATTCAGCCATACACGGACTACATGAACATACTCTTCCTTTATCTTAAACTAGTGCAATTAGCCATATTATGTCAAACAATCACTAAAGTGATAAACAAAAGAATCTGAACTACAGTGTGGAGTTTCTCTGTCTGGAAAAAAAAAAAAAAGCTGAACTTTTTGGATTGAACATTGTTAACATCTGAAATTGGTGCCTATTGGTTCATGTATTCTTTCTAGGATTATGGAAAAAGGAGTCAAAAAATAGTGAATGTACAACAAATTTGATTTTCTGTGTCCTCTCATTGAGCAGGTAAATGACAGAGCTTTTAGGCATATGTACATGACTGGAGAGCACAGCAAAAGTTGTACCTTAACACTGAAGAAAGAAATAAGTAGCTCTGAATGTTCACTATTGCATTATTTACTGTAATTTTGACCACCTCCTCCAGCTGCGTCAGTTTCACAAAGAAAACACTTCCTAACATAAAACTCTCCTTTCTGAGGATGCAGGTAGTTTTTTGACACAGGGAAAAGTGTTTATACCTTCATGGCAGTGTACTGCAACTCTAAGAGTGAACCTGTGTGACAGGACTTTGATCTGAGGATGTGGAAATGGCGCCAAAACAAAGGGTGCACTTATCTGTGTAATTAAAGTCAGTTATCCATATAGTCCTTCCAACGTCTGACAGAGAAGTGCAGTTTTCCATGGCTCTGCATGCCCACTGCCAATTCGTAGCTATCATCTTCTCAGTCACCAAGTAACACACATAAAGCAGAGCTAACATCCAACACCTGTGATCACTTACACATTACCAGGGAGGAAATCGTCCCATCTAGATGCCTGGCAGGACTAGTTGCACTTCCAAGTACCAACAACACACCAGAGAATAAACTTGCAAAGGGGGGTAGATGGGAGGCACAGTAAGTGAGTTTACAGGTCTTTGGAAACCTGCTGGAAGATGGGAGATGCCCATCACCAAGTTTCTCTAACACTTGAAGGCAAAATTCCTCATAAGAGGGAAAAGTGTTAACAATTTATTTAGTGACAACTGTCTGAACAGTGACAGTCAACCAGTGGTTAAGTAACACTACATACCTTGTCTACTCACATTGTGCAAACACTGAAACAAATTTCAAGTATGAGATTGTAAATTGGTTAGCTCTGCTTCTGTTCTATACCAACAGATGAAAAATCTCTTTAAAGAAGTCTTCCCTAGACAAGTATTTTCACTACAAAGGCATTCATTGTTTCCCCCACTTGCTGCTCTAAGTTTCATAGACCTCCTCCTCCAAACACTGGCAGGATATTAGTGAACGTTCCTTTCATCAGTTCACAACAACAACAAAAAATGTTTCTTTTGTATCGCCTTATACTTTGAATTTAATTACAGCTATTGTGAGCAATAATAAAATCAAAACAAAAGCCAGCCAGAAGCAGCCCATTCCTTCTTCTTGGATCAGCTCTTGAACCTCTGTATTAGGGGATAAAAGGAAGAATGTACTTTCCTGAGGGATAAGTAAGGCTTACAGGAAGTCAGACAAACAGTCCAAAGGGCATTGGTAATGGAAGCATGTTAAGACAGAACTGCATAAATGCATGGGCATAAGGACAGAATATCATATTAAAAGGCACAAGTGCATTTTGAATTACAGACACCTAGAATAGAGGTCAGAATCATCAGAACAGGATTTGAATGCTGTTCATGTTGTAAATTTTTTGACATAAATCCTACCTATACCCACAGGCACTGTCTCATTGGGGTTAGAAGAATTCTCTCGGTGGCATTCTGTATTTGAATGGATTTGTTCAATTTAGTCTTGATAAATTGAATCAATTTAGTCTTGATAAATAAAGAAAATGTCTTTAAGAGTGGGCCCTTTCCTTGCAGCTATATGCTATAATGTATTCATAGTGACATATTTTCCCCTTAGATGGTTGTTTGGGAAAATGGGTGGGGTCTCCTTAAAATTTATATTTCTTACTATGACAGTTCTGTTTGTGCAGTAATCTCCCCCGCAGAAAGAATTTTCTTTCATTTCTTTGATTTACGCTGCATGATAACAAGATCAAGAGGTTAGATTCTCTCTAGAAGATCATCTGGCTTACCTTCAAAACCTATTTTTTTTTTTTTTTCATGCAGCAACCATTTTCCTTTTTGTTTCTCAGTGTGCTCACTAAACACTACAAAACATCATTCCTGTCTTGGCTCCTGCATTGTTTCAAAGTGACTGTCCTCTCCTATTGTTCAGGAGTATCCTCATTCCTTTCCTAAAAGACATACAAGAATTTTGTATGTCAAATAAAGGACAAAGCCTATGGCTCCTTCACTTTAGTCTCATTAACCCTGTAAGCACGGACATTGCACAGAGAAAGCCAGCAGCCATTTTCTGCATGTAGGCATTAGGTAAACAGGTCCATGGCAGTTTTCAGACCACTGTCATAAGCACACAGCCACTTTGGTGGGGAAACTGGTTTCATGCTTTTTGTGCATTCTTCTGGAAGGCACATACTGTGTGGCAGGACACAGAACTTGCTACAGTTAGCATTTACCTCCTTACATTTCATTGCTTTCAGTCTTTTCACAGGACGATACAAGCCTCACTGCATGACTATGCTCAGGCTGTTCTCCTCAGCCGAAGTGCTGGCTTGCAATTGCATTTCTGGTGTTCAAACTGGAGTATACACAAAGGGAAGAGCAGCTGCAGGTTCTTATTTGTGGTGGAGTCAACACAAGGGAGTCACATTCTTGATATTGAGAGAGCTTTCCCCTACTTTCCTGTTATTCCTGTGGGCTTCTTTGCTCCTCTCTTCACAGTGGGAAAAAAAAAAAAGGGAGACCCAGGAAGAAAACACAGACCTTCAAAATACTCTGCGAGATATACAGCATACGATATGGCTCAAGATTAGGCACGGTTCATTGGTACTAACTGTGCTGCTGCTAATTAGCCACTGACCTTAAAGATAAGCTTCTAAGGCTCATATTTACTTTTCTCACATGCACAAGTATTAGGATCATATTTCTGAGAGGTAATGAAGAAGTGTTTAAGAACACAAACATCTTCTCTCCAAAAACGTCTTTATCATCATGTATTTTTGTCAGGTGGAATGCTTTGGTACAAGGCTTCCTGCACAGCAGCAGAAACAAAAAGCTTTCCTTTCTTGAGCTTAGGCATCTTTATTGATGAGTGTCACATGCTTTCAGTTCTGGGACAGGAGACTCTCACGGGAGTGCAGTGTGTTATTACCAGCTACTGATCTCTTCTGGGGCAACACATGCAGCTAGCTATCACATCATATATTTGGAAGTCTCTAATTTACAGGCAGCTAACAAGTATGATGTGGAAAGATAGGCACCCTTCTCATGCTGAAGAGGTGGAATTCCTGATTCTGCATTAACCTTTTCCTGGAAGTATGTTACAACACTCCACTGCAATTGCATGCATAGAGCTATGATATTCCTCTAGGCAATGAAGGAAGCCAAAGGCAATGAAAGGTACCAAGGTTTTGGTCCTTGAAACTTGAGACACTAATCATTCAGGGAAACATGCTCTGTGGGGTTAAAACCATTTTGGTAGAAAGGCACTCAGAGCTTTGCACAGCACTTGAAAAAGCCTTATGATGCAGCCCTTACAGGACAGAAATTCCAGTGTTTCCTAGCTATCATTGTACATGCCAAGAGCATCTGGAAGTACCAACCTCAGTAAGCACACGCTAACAGTGATTGTCTACTTTCTGCCTGCAGCCTGCTCCTTGCCTGCCTTGTGAAGGGTGGGAAAGAAATGTGGCTGGAAGCAAAGTTAATATTCTCAGAGAAAATCAATCAACAAGGCTGTCCTTTGCCCCGTGGGCTCCTCACAACTTGCTAGTGAGCAAGAAGAATCCCTGAACTGATGGCAGAAAATCTGCTGTAGTGACATTTTCACCAAGGGACCCAATGTTCTTCCTCCTGACCGCACATTTGCTCTTGAAATAGTGCAATACCCTCTTTTCCTTAATTTTTAAAGCAATCACCTGCAGCTGATACGCATGAAATAACATCAGAATATTTTGCTATTTGCTATTATGCTAACTACAACAACCTGCTCAATATTGCCTAGATATTACATTAGTGTCTTGTATACTTCATAAATAAATGTTCAGTGACAGCAGTAATTCCAGAAAAAAGGTGACCCTTCATCAGTTTTCACACTACTGAAGGGGAAGACAATACTCACAGTACCTATATCTGTACATGTCCTCCTGCATAAACAGTCAAATCTCACATCAGAAATGATGGAATTGCTAGAAAAAAAATACCAAAGTTTTCTGGCCACTGTGCCACCATTTTCACTGCTTGCCTCACTGGTGTGTAAATGCACCAAAAGACAACATGCTATGCAATAAGTTATTTAATGATCATTAAATTAATGCAGATCCAATTCTGCATCTGATGAATGCAAAAAACTTCAAGACATTTTAATGTTGCAGAGTGGTAGAACTGAGCCAAAAGAGCCAACAATACAAAGCTTTGTTCTCCAGCTCAGGGAGCACAGTATTTTAAATACTTAAAAGAATGCAGAACTACAGAAGGTTTCAACATGCCTTTGCTTCAAGGCAGGGCTGCTTGACACCTCCTGTATCTTTGTAAGCACTATTTAATAGCTTCTATTGCTGGTGTCTTTAAAGAACACTTGAAATAAATCTCCCATTCATTTATTCATAATGTTTTCTTCCATTTGTAAAATATAAACCTGTTCTTCCTTTGCATGCTAACTAAAACGAATGTGGGTCACCAGCAACTGACTTCCTAAAGATACACTATAGGATTGCAGGGACAAAGTGGTGGGCATTTCTTAACTGGTTGCCTCAAAGCCAATGGAGCAGTAATCACAGGTTTCTTGTGAGAAATGGTGGCCTTTTACTCCCAGCATTCCTTCCACTACACTGATGTATGACAAAACATGTAATATGGAGGTTTTGATCCAAAGGGCTCTTCCTCCAAGATCACAATGGGTCACACTCCTTTTTAAAAGTTTGTCAAGAAAGTAGAACAAAAAGGATGAGATCCAAACCCCCGCAAAAACTGAGTCAAGAAAGCAGGTCACTCCACTGATTGTGTCATATCATCTTTACAAAAAAAAAAAAAAAAAAAAAAAAAAGGATGTTCTCCAGGAATTCTCTCCCTTACACACAGAAAGGATGCAATGTTTCTGTGGCAGGGTTTTCTGCTTTTCACCCATCTGAGAAGACTGGCACTGGGGTGTAAATTGCTATCAGTGAATGATCTCAAAGAAGAAATGTGTGGCTGTAGGGTTTGTGGGGAGCACCTGTATTCTATACCTGGCACCTGACAGTTCTGGGGGACAGACCCAGCACAGTCTCCAACAAAGAGCTTGCAGCAGCACAGTGAGGGCTGAGCTGCAGTGGAAGTAGTGGACAATAATTATGGTTCCTTGCACCTCTGGGACTGCTCAGAGCAGCATTCATCAATATGGTTTGGAAGAATTTGCTATTTGGAGCTTTACTTTCTTTTCTGGAATATCAAGAATTTTAAGGTTCCTGTAAACATATAGACCTATGTCATCTCTAAAGAAGCTTTAAGAGGGAAAGTTGCAGTTCCTACTCTCTTCCTGCTGTCTTACACACAGACTGATATTGGGTCTGAGGACCTTGGAATTTCACCCTAAGAGAAGTGTTTAAAATAGGTAACAATGCTTTTTTATTTAGTCACTAAGTGCTGGCCTAGGTAAACAATCAGGTACCTCACATGGAAAGCCTGTGCACTACTTAATGCCCTTCATGCCTGAAGGCACAGAAGACTACCTGTTATTTGCTTTTTAGTTTCCACATCCTTGGTGTATTGAAGTAAACGGAGCAAGACTGGGATCCCTTTCTGCTCTGACACTTCCAGTTTGTTGTCATTGTCCTCAAACACCAAGTTTCTCAAAGCACCGCATGCTGCACGCTGAATGTCCTCATTCTGAACGTCAAGAAGCTGCAAAAGTCTGGGGATACCACCAAGTGAGAAAACCTGTGAGGAGGAGAAAATGCAGCAGAGAATAGTTAGATGCTGAAAATGACACAATCCACTCCCTCTTCCCCTTGCCAAAACTTTATCGTTGTAGGGCCTTTTTCATTCGCTCGTTTGAAACACTTGAAGCACAGATCGTTAATCATTTGGACATGACTGTTAACTTCTGGGCTTTCATATGAGTCACAGTTCAAGTCTACACCTAAAGGAGGCATCATGTTTTAGTAATTAATGCAAGAGAATGAAACAAGCTGTCTTCCAGCTCTGCCACAGATTTGTACTCGTTGACAAGACATTTGATTGTTCTGTATTTTAGCTTCTACATTGCTGAGATGTATATTTAAGATTCAACTCTGGAACATTCATTAACTGCTTTGAGATTTCTGGATGTTACATGTTCCTGATGTGTCAGATTGTATTTTTTACTTGGCAGCCAGGCTGGTGGGAAAGATAATACTTTTCCCTGTTAACTTCTGTGCATGTGCTGACTATATGTTAAATAAGAATACAGTTTACTTGGTACTTATCTGTGGCATACTGAGAAAAAAATAGAGAACTTCAAAACATAAACTGTTAAACATTGTAAGCCAGTCAACTATCGAATCACCCACATTTAACAAAGACTACTCTTCAGTGTCTAATTTTGAAAAAATGAAATTTTGGCCCCAAATGAACGAAGAATTAAGAAGCTGTTATTTTATAACAGCTGTATGGAAACAAAGAGTTTCCAAGTTCTACGCGTTGTGACAAATGATGAATGCACTATGAGCTGCGACACAGTATACTCAAACCTTGGCTCATTGAAGAGTGAGATTACAATAAAAAATATCTTACATTCATGTACAATTGAGGATGGTTTCCTCCAGCATCTAAAAATGCCATATGGCTTTGAGGACAAACTCATCCTTGTGTAGAAGTGACAGCATATGAAAGACTTAGAAATCTGATATAACTGTTTTGAGCACTCCAGAGCCTAATGATAAAAAGAATTTGATATGACCAATAGATGTTGAAAACCAGAAGAAATGAACTGCAACAAAGCCTTTTGCCCTTAGTACCCCAGCAAACTACACTGCATGTCTGCCTTTCCTCTGATTCAACTGTACAAAAAGCAGTTTCTTGCTGCTGTTGCACTGTTGACCTGATCTACCCTGCATTCATTCAAAAACACCTAGATTCTAACAGAAGGAAATACAGAAATCTATATCTGAAGGTAGGCAGAGATTAGAACACTCTGAAGGCAAAGGCACGTTTTATTACAGTAGATAAGCCTGTTTGACACCAATACCTTACGGTTCTTTTATTTGTTTGTTTGTTTTTAATTCAAACATTTATGCTGACTTTCTGTCAGTAATTTTAAGTGAGTTGTAGCTCTTGTAAAACAAGTGTAGTCAGCTGGACCCCAAGTGCAGAAGAGCTTTACAAAAGCTATTGGTTGGTCTGTCTAAATTTTCATTGGTAGACAAAATCCACCAAAATACTGTAAGACCACATGTTCAAAAGAAAAAAGAAAAGCCACTAGACTTACAAACCATTGTGTAATGCAGAACAAAGCATTAGGAGACAGAGAAAAGGAATGCACACTGAAAAGCTAAAAATGGCAAATAAGACAATGCAAACAAAGAAAGGTCTGATGGGCACCAAATAGAGAGGCTTAGCTAGGATACGTGGGATAGACAGGAGAACAGAAGAAGGCTTCAGGCTGACTGGTTCAGTTTGAACATTTTTAGTCCTCTGCCTGTTTTTCAGGGAAGCTGCCTGAGACAGCTTTGAATAATAAACCACCTTCACACATTCAGTTCTGAAGCTCTGTCCTCAAACTAAAGTTAAAGCTGCTAATTATACAGGTGTTCTTTCCAAAACAGAGTTTGACCTACTGTGAAGTTCATTAAACCTACTAAAGGACTGAGTGATGTCTGGTTGTCACTGAACTGGGCTGCATATACAGAGTTCAGACTGAAATGACTTCATTTCAGTTCAGACTGAGCAAATCATGAAATAAAGAAAGTGTAAGATATTTTTAAATGGTTAAAGTAAAATAAATAACTGCTGTACACGTGAATGTACAGAACTATCAGTCAAATGAACCATGATTCTGTTTAACAGTGAAATTTAAAGAAAAATGAAGAAGAGGATATTTTTAATATGTCCTGTCAAAAACGTTTAAGAGTTTGACCTGTTTGATCAATCTATACAATATACAAATGTATTCGTACAGTCCTAGCAAGCTCCTATCAGTTTGCTTCATCCACATCCTGTTTTAATACATTTGTGTGGTTCTAGCAAACCCTGAAGCTTGGATAATTTTGCAGGGTACTCCCAGACTTTCAATTTCTGGGATATTTCTGCACCAACAGTGTAAGCATGCCAGTCAAATGAGAGATGAGAGTAATTATATTGATAAAAAGTTCAGGCTCTACAACTTATAAAAGCTGAAAGAATTATGTTAATTTAGCCTGCAAAAGTGTAGGCTTGAGCGAGTATACACTTAGCAGCCTCAACACACATGAAAAATCATTATAAAAGGGACTGAAATATAGACATTTTTTTCCATATCCATCAAGACAAAATAGAAACTAATGAACAGTTTGCAAAAGGAAGATGTAATTACACTTTAAGATTAACCGAGTAGTAAAGTTCCTTGATTGTCTGAGGGAGCTTGTGTTATTATTATTATTATTATTATTATTATTATTATTATTATTATTATTATTATTATTTTGTTTTAAAAAAGGTCAGAAACATCTGCAATTACAAATAGTTTGGGTGAATTCTTGATGTCCTTTCTTACTCTACGTTTCCATGTTTCCTATCACAAAATGCTAAAACCTAAACTTCAGCTAGGATAGGTCAGTGCTACTCTACAGACCTAACTAATCTGCAGCAAAAGGCATCAGCATATTTTAGGGAAAATATTCAACATCAGTATTCTACACGGTTTCCTGGAATGCATTTTTTCATGCTGGTAAACAGTACCATGTAGAACAATTATTTGCTCTACCTGATGGAAGCGTGTATAAAAAAATCACCTACTTTTCTTCTGGCTTCTGCTTTCTGGAAACACTCATGCTGTATGAAGGTCACTGCAGCAAGAATCCTAGGTATTGACTGTGTATTTTCACTCTTCAATATGCTCACTGCATGTTCCAGGGTCATCTCCCCTTCTGGGCTCCTTAAAAGTATAATTGAAGAAAATAGAGTGAAGAAAGACTGTAGTAAATCATCATTTATCCTGCAAATTTTCTTGTAATACCACACTATTCATATTTTTCAATTAGCTTTACTTAGAAAATTATTCTCTTACTAGTAGAAGAAAATATTACAAAAGCTTTAAGAGATGTTAATATTCTGGGGGAAGAGAAAATCATAAATTGAATTGTTGCAGCAATACGAGGTTGTGGACAAAGCAAGACATCCTTGAAATTATAAAAACAACATGGAAACATTAGTAGCTGAAGGGTACAATCACCTTGAATAAATTGAGTAAGTATGTTGCCTGTGGTAGGATTAAAAATATGCATGGTCATTTTCTTTCTAACTGCCTGCATGTTTGCTTGAATAATAATTGTGCTAGACCATATCAAAAATTGGAAAGAGAGATCACCATACCCATTTCTTTTTCCCTAGTAGAGGGAACAAAGCAATTCATGGCACAATCAGGTGCATTAACTCTGGGATAACCTGGGTGGTTATGTTCCCCAGCCTTTTTACTTCCTGTTGGTTTCAAACACTCCCCACCCTGAGGAGGGAGGAAAAAGAAAAGGAAAGGAAAAAAAAAAAAGGTGTGTGTGGGGACACAAAACCACGCCTATTCTATTTATTTTTTTAACTTGAATCAGAATGGTTTTCATGAGAATCATTTCAGCAAGTACATCTGAAATTTGAATTTTTCATACAAATACTTTCCTTGATAAACAGGTGCTTAGGAAACACATTTGCTTAAATTGATTTTTTTTTTCTTTTAACTAAGATGAAATGTTAAATAATACATGATATTCAGATTAGTGAAGTTCAGATAAGAAATGTTTTAATATTGAGAAAAGAACCATATGTAAAGCACGTGTCTGTGCACTGTACCAGGGGCCACTAGGTTCTTCAGCTCTGAGGCCATCTCAGTAATGGACTGGCAAGGACAAAAGAGCCTGGAAGCACAGGCTTGCCCAGAACAGGCTGTGGAGAGGCAAGGTAGACACAAGCTGGCAGAAACCAGGCAGATCTCTCACAGAGAAGCCTGATACAAATGCATTGAAATCAGAACAAAATATTTATGACCTCTGAGACAAAAAAAGATTTTGTTAGATTTTTCTTTTTTTCTGCTAGCTATCCTGTAATTCATAAGGCAAAAGGCAATTAGTATTGCTGCAAGGAGAGTAAAGAGATGAAGATGCACCTGTTCCAAATTAAGTTCTGCTCCAGTACCCTGAGGTCTCCACCTGACTTTACATTTCCATTTGGTGTAAATCGTTTTATTTCCTGTCTTCTACCCTCCCCAGAATTTGCGTTTTGAGCAAATATGCTGCATATATAGATGCTGAAGCACACTTGTGCAAGACACAGATGAAAAGAAGTGGGCAGTGCGCTGAGGATATCAATGGAGAAGTTAAGTCAAAGTGCAAATAGACAGAACAGCAGTTGGTATTTGTAGTGCCCTGGGCTCTGTTCTGGCAGTGCTTAGGGCTTTCAGATTTCGAGTTTACTTTAGCCCTGATTTAAAACAAAGTAGCTACAAAGTTACTCTACATTGCTAGTCAGATGTACAGATCAGAAACTTACTCAAAGATCTTGAACAATGAATATGGAAAAAAACAGATCATATTTCTTGTTCTTAGTCTCTCTTAAGGGGAACAGAAAAGCAGGCTTTTCCAGCATGGGTTTTAGCCAGGTTTCTTAAATCAACAATGTTTTTGTGAGCATGTTATGTATGTGTGCACGCCTTCCTGCTTGCAAGTTAGTGTAGTAACTTTGGAGACCTTTTAAAAAATTTGGCCACCTTCTATGGAGTGGCAGACATCTCTTATGTGTTAAATTGTGAGCTATTTCACCAGGCAAATAAAGACTCTATCCATGCACTTTCTAAGGTCAAGAGAGCTGCATGAGCTGATCCCTGATGGGATATCAAGAATACGTGGGAACTCAGCCTCAGGATGCCAGGAATGTACTAGAGTGGCAGAGGCCCATCAGCAGTCACCAGCCTGCCAGACTGAGATAAATTCATCTATGGCCAGAGACCAAATTTCTAAGTGGTGGATGTGCAGAACTGCACAGAGGCTGACAGCAGCTCAAAATCCACCAGTATCATCCCTTCAAGGCTGATACTCCTTCATGAGTAGTAACCACAATCTTTCCTTCATGTTGTACACTGCCATACTAGGACTGCTCTTTATTGGATGAAAAACATTTGCTCTCACTGAAGTTTTATCAGGCAGTAACAGAGTCTTATAAAATAAAGTTTTACCAGACAGTAATACTTATTCCATACTACCCTCAAAGAAATTACAGGCAAACCTAAAAGTCGCATGGCTAATAAGCATGTGTATTGATGACAAACAAAGGGATATTCAAGCAATGGTTGTTAAAAAGAACAATGATTTGACAAGTTGTAGCTTCATCTTAATTTCCAGAATATAACATTTTTGAAATCTACTGTTTTCTGATCATTTTGTGACAGTCCTCAGCGCATTTAGAGGTCTGATGCTGTAAGCTGTTTCTCAGGTAGCTTCAGGTGGTATCCCTCTCTTTCCTTTGATATATGGATGCTTTTAACTGCTTCACTCTACCAGAAGATGCAGAGATAGCATCACTATATTGTTCTTTTTTTCTTTCTACTTTGATTTCACAGCATGAGTTATTCTTCTACAGAAATTTTGCAAATACATTTGTACAATTTTAAATTTTATACAGAACTAGTCCACTATTTCTCTCCAACCTTACTAAACTATTTAATATCCTCTTAATTATTAAAACTTAACCTTGAAAAATCCTAAATTGTGACTTGCATTAAAAGTACAAATTTCTGGAAAAAGCAAATTACTTTGAAAACAGGCTTATCTTTATTGTCCCTCCCATTATTAAGGGAACAACAAATAAGGCAGCAGTCTATCACATAGTGCAACTTTGAAATCAAAGAGGATGGGAAATGACAAGAAATGAGAAAGTCTTTACTAACATATTAGACCGAGAAGTCCTGTTGGAAGAAACTGCATGTCTGGTGATATGATGCAAATAAGTGAAACAGCTCTAATTTGACAGCTGTGTGTGCTCCAAAGCAAAATTTGGTCTATTATGTTTTAAACACTTAATTCTACATTAAATTGTGCAGTAGCTAGATGTGGATGAAATGGAATGTACTATAACCAAATTAAGACTTCAACATCAAGCCCTTCCAGTGACAAGAATTACAAAGGAACTTATTAAATGTGTATTTTAGACATCAGGAAAGAGTAATAATCTATGTGGATATCATGAACAATTATATAAGCAAATGTAATAAATACTGATTTCAGTCAGCTAAAATAACTCTTCCTCAACATTTAAGAAACTAGTGGTCCAAATCTCTTGGGGAATTATCTCACATGCCAATTTTCACCAGCCTCTCCCTAAAACAAGCCATTATATTTTACAGAAACTTTTTAAAACTTTGGGTAGACCAATGAGCTCCTTGCTCCCCCCCAAAAAAATAAAATAAAATAATCTAGCTATGAATCCAAAGTAGAACCTAGTTTATTTGAAAATCTAAAGATATGTACAAGTAAATTAAATGGTCAGAAGTACTGAGATAAATGAAATGTGTAAACATTTGCAAAAGGAACTTTACACACTTTCATAGCACTTCCCATCATTTTCTTCTGTAATTTCCAGCAAAAGCTGAACTGAAAATCTGTCACTTAAGGAGTTACACTGCCAAATAGATTTCCAATAAGTCACAAATCTTTCACAATGAGTTCAGCACTGTCCCAAGCAAGCCACCTGCACAATGACTAAAGATAGATGTTTACTTCTGAGGGTGTGAAAAACACTTTGGTTGAATTTGTGCAGGCAGACAACTAGATGCCAATGACTGCACCTTGCAGAAGAACCAAAATTGCTTCTACATGAGATCAAATATCAATATAGCTGTCTGTGGCTCAGAAACACACTAAGGAACCTGCTGGAGCCCCTACCATTGGGGCCAACAAAACCTCAGAATATGGTACCCTTGTTCCCGAGAGGCTTTGGGGTCCTGAAATTCAGAGCAAATTATATTTGTTCTGAGGATGAATATTCTAAGGAAGAAATTTCTGCTTATGTTTTAATGAAGTTCATCAAAACTAAAAAGTTTCCTTAGAACCATGAAAGTTTCAACTGAAGGCTGTCAATCTGCTAAAAGCCGAATTGCAAAATATGCATTGGCATATTTTTGATGTACTCTAGTGAGAAGCAGTGATAAAATCATTTGGTTTCTTACAAGCAAAAAATTTGCCAATATATTACTATGTAACATCATTTAAGTCGTATATTGCTCAGCATTTACTTTGTGTCTCCTTAAACATATGATCAACTGTTGGAAAAAGGTGGTCCCGAACGTGAGCAAGAGGTGTGGACCCTGCAGGATGTGCGGACGTGCATTTTCTCTCTCTTTCCTTTGCTGCACTGGAAGTGAATTTTCACACTATGTTGGCTGTATAGTTTACTTTCCATTCTTAAACGAATATGTTTCTTTCAGCTGTGACACCCCATAACCTAGATAGGTCCTGCATTATGCTTACCCTAGCTGAGATCCATTGATGGTGACTTGTTCATTCTGCAGGAAACCATTTCTCCCTGCTGCTGCCATAGCAGCTGTCAGTGTCATCCTCTTTCCATCTGTTTCTGCAGCAACACCGGTTACTGAAGCTGGCTGGGAAGCATCCCTCCTGGTCTGTGTGTTTCTGAAAGTAGTTTGGTGCCAGCTGGACCTAAAAGATTGCCTGTTCTGAGACCCCAAATGGGAAGCAGTTGGTGATCTTACTTGTCCCATTGCACTGCCTGATGTCAGGTAGTTCTCTTTCTCTAAAAGGTTGGTCATACTGCGACTGTTGCCTGCTTGATGGTACAGAAGTGCAGAAGGGCTAGGGGGGACACCATCAAGCATGGTGTCATTAACAGCCACCATCTGGGGGTGTCTTTTAAAAGAGCGTCCCCTGTTCACTGAATCACGAAGAGTGTAACCAACAATCTCAGACCGAGCATATCTTGGTGGGACAGTCCCGCTGGGTCTCCTATTATCTTCGTGCCTTGAAGAGAATCCAGTTGAAAACCGTCTGTCATAGTGAAAATCATTGGACACATATGAAAATCTTTCAGGACCCCGCTGGGGTGAAACCTCTAATCTCTTCAGGGGTTGTCTTTGACCTCTCTCTTCCATTGTCTTGTAAGTAACTCTTGTCCCCCAGCCATTTGTATAAGAGGATTGTGAGGCCACCTGTTAAGGGTGCATAAAAGAAAAGTCAGATTACGGCAGTTAGGATTAATGCCAAAGAAATCAAACCAGTAACGTAAAGATAAAAACTATAAGGTCTGCTATGAGAATAAGAAAATAAAATGTGAACATCACCAAAACTGGTTATTAAGTGGGATTCTGCAATACTTCTTTGTATCTGTGTAACAAAGGTAGGAACAAGTATGATCTAAACTTTAGGAGACAAAGTCTAAGGAACTAGTCTTCTGATACTACCTCAAAATAGGTGCCAGAGTCATTTATACCTGATAGCGAGCAGTATTTTTAAACAGAGATTTTAGTTTCAGCTTGAAAGTCCTTGAGGATTAACACTCACATTGGTTATTGAAATTAAATTCAAGGCTGCCCAACAGAAGATAATTAGTCAGTCAGATATCAAAATATACTAAAACACTTGTATATTGTTATGATGTACACCTTGACAGGATATTGAGAGGTTATTTTGTTCTCCTGTTCACACTGTGGGAGGATCTAGTAAAGAGAGATATTCTTTTTCCTGTTTCCTGTTTCCTTAACTTTAACTGAAAATGAATGGGATTCCATAGCATTGCAAGGAAATCAAAATAACCATTTCACCTTCTCAATGGTTTCCCTTAATCTACAACTACAATTTAAGATGATTTTTATTTTCCTGTCCCCAGTGGGCAAGGACAGTAATCGATCATATTCTTGTTTTCCAATTTTCTCATTTCTAAACTCAATAAACCCACCTCCTTCAACTCTTCTTTGTAGGATGTGTCTTCAAAACTTTTTACTGCATGGGTGTTGTTTGGATTCTCTTCAATTTTTCTACCTTTTGTTGAACTGTTATGTTCAAAATTGGATCATATTCAACACTTTCCAGAACTAAATCAACTTGGGAGACTATCTGCTTTACATAGAAGAGCAATGGCTAATTATTATTATTATTAGTAGTAGTAGTGAGTGCAGTAGCATCCAGCCATAAACCTAAGTCCCACATATTTTCATGTTGTATTAAAGTATTGTAATATTACAGACATTTTTAAAGGTAAACATTGAAGTTTACACTGATGTTATTCATTGAAGGGATAGGGCTTAGCAGATAGTGACTGAAATCCCTTTTTTAACTGTTGAGGAGTTATTGAAGGTGATAACTGACTCACAAAAGGGGCAAAGGTTGCTGAATCTATTAGGCTGAGGCTAGGATCATTGAGTCTATGTGTTTATTCTACAGGAGTTATGCAAGGATATCTTTTCTTTATCTCTTGTCTGGCGGTAAAGAAAAGAATGCTTTTGTGAAATACTAGACCTTGTGGTTTTTTCTGACTTTTATGGCAGCATGGGAGAACAGCATGTCCTATTTCCTTTTTTTTTTTTCTTTTTTCTTTTCCTGTCAGGAAAGCTGTACTATTTTATTGTTGTTCCTATGTCACATCTAATTATGCTCTTTTTGCTCTCTTCTAAAAAGAACAGATTCACATTAAATGCTAGGGACTGGGTAACAGGTGAGAACAAATGATAGGAGGACAAATGTAGTCAAGTAACTGGTTCTAACTCTTGCCATAGAGTGCCAGAGCTGCTTAATTAATTTGCCAGCCGCCAGGTTATTTCATTCCATGAAAACATGCCATTCTTGTGTCATCTAAAATTAAGAAAGAATTTGCCCCCTAAACTATTTATAAAATAAATATTCCTATTCCCAAGCTGAACTGATTTGTTTACTGATGTTGATCACGCAGCAGCACTGCTACTGTGTGATTTCCAAGCTATATGTTAATTGAGCTATGTGTTGATTACCAAATTATATGGTTGCTCCCTCAACCATATAATAACTGGTTCATAGTAGTTATGAGCTAAGTCATAAACCCTGAAGAAAATCAGCTATTTATTTTAGCATTTAGGCCATGAACCCAAGTGAAGTGGGTCAAAATAAAAAGTGAAGCTGTAATTAGCTTAAAAACGCTATTGTATTACAAAGACTATACCACTCACATTCTTGTAATGCTAAAACAGATTACAGCAGGATTATTTAAAATGATAAGGAACACTCTACCTGTCATTGTGAAACTAGTGTGATCTATTTTCCTGTGGTTTTGGATGCTTAGTTCCCTAACCTCTTTCACTATATTCCCAGGTCCAACCCTTGTCATTCTTTACCCTGCAGGACTGCTGAACTCCCTCCAGCAACCTCTAAATGTTTGGCTGGGTACATGCCAGCATGGCCTCTGGCTACTTTGGGCTAGGTATGTGCTGACTGACCTGCTGGCTGCTGGGATGGATGAAGGTCTGACTTGCAACAGCCTCTGCCTAAATAGCATTTAGTACAATTTTTCATCTTCTACCCACATTCCAATTCTCACAAAATCAATAGGATTGCAAAAAGCCCATCTGTCATACCATGTTGAGTTTAGCCACTGGGCTCAGAAGTGACCAGAAGGAAAGAAAAACATTGACGGATCTCAATCACGAAAACCACTTTTTCTAGAAATCAGGCTTCAAAAAGTGAACAAATAAACCTTGAAATGTCATCTACATACTGTTATCTGTGGTTTCAAAATAAACTATGCATTTGGTAATGCACTTATCCCCATTCATTTTCCTTACCTGGTTTGACTGGTAGTAAGAGACACCATACTGAGATCTTGATGCAAAATCATTTTCAGTAATCCCCATGTTATAAACACGTTCCGGAACACTGGAAGCACGGTGTAAACTACCTATAAATAAAAATTAGTAAGATTTTAACAAAACATAATATTACTATAAAGGATGGTTTGGAGTACTAGGGAAGTAACTTGTACACTGCTGATAATATATATTAGCTGAAAATCAGAGAGGGGAAAGATGGAAAGATGTTTGTGTTCAGTGCATAGCATTCAAAATATGGCTAAGAAAAGATTTCTGAGGGCACAGGCCTCAGATAATTCTCATTTATTTTACTTAAGACATATTTAACTTTTAGAAGTCTTATTGTTCATGCAGCTATTTCACGGAAGATATTTAAACACAACAAGTTGATGTTTTAAATATCCCAGATACTGGCAGATAATTAAGTGCTACCAAGAACTTATTTTTCGTTGTTACCGTTTTGAATGTGTACGTACGGTTTACGTAAGAGTCTGACTCTAACACACCCAGTACACAAACTAGTTAAAATATTGCAACTGTAGATTGCAACGGAGCAAACTGGGCTTAAGTGTATGCCTCTGTTACTGTTAAACCCTAGAGATGTAATTTCAACTGTCACTAAAGAAATACCATACACTCAACATAGACTATTTACTTCATAGCTGTCTACCTCAACTGCTGATGTTTCTTCTCCCTGAAGTACTAGTTTAATGACAATATATTGGAACAAGCAATGCTTCACTAATCTTCTTATGCTTCACCCAAAGAACATGAGTCCACAAACAAAATCTTTGGCTTGTGGAGGCACGTGGTGTATGAAGCTGAAAAAGTAGCGGTGTTTAATTACACTTCAGATCTGTACCTGTAAGGTTCACTAATCTGCCAAACAAGGTAGAAGATCCACAGCATATCTACCTTGATAGTTTCTTTCCACAACCTAGCTCTGAAAATGGAGCAGTGCCTGGTGATTATTTCTTTCACTAAGACCTCACTATTCTTTAAATTAAAGAGAAAGAAACAAAAAAAGAAAACACATGCACAATAAAACCCACAAAACCAAAAGCCTCAGGGTGTTTCTCTTTCATTGGTACAATGCATTTTCAAATAAAAGTCCTTCTATTAAGAAAAAATAAGTCAAGCTTTGTAACAGATACAGCCAAAATGACTGTTCATGAAATTTCCAAGTTACTATGAGAATCCACATACAGGAATATAAAACACACAGGTTTAAAGAGGTGACACAGAAATCAAAAGCAGAAGGAAGATATTCCTCAAATCTGTCATAAATGGAGACACTGGAGGTTGCAGATGTTTAGGCTGAACATAATGCTGGTTAATAAAGAAGTTGGCCATGAATTTTCAAAATAGCAGATACTGTCTGAGAAAGAATACAAGAAATGGCAGAAGCAAATCATTAACTTGGTCGAATTGATGAAGTCTTCATTTCTAAAAATATTAGGAGTCATATGCACGAGGGACTTCAAGTGCTAAAAACATGCAGGCTAAATCCTGCTAGGATTTTTGAAAGCACCTAGCATTTGTGCCAAACAGCTGAGGCTTTCAGTTTGTGCAGTTAGACTCCTGGCTACATCAGGTACATGTGGGTATCCCTAGGAACTTCAGTACCCCCGTGTCTTTAACACCTTAGTGAATGTAGATCATAAAGGCTTGGCAAGGGTGAAAAGAAACAAGTCTCACATAACAGCAATAATTTGTAAATGATAAGTCCAAATTTGTGTATAATATATAAGTGTATTGAGTGCAATAATTTTAAATCCAATTTATTTATACTTTCCAGTTACTTTTACTTGTTTAATCATATTTTGCAATTCTTGTACTTTGACTATGCAAGACAGTTTTGAACATGCATTAGGTGATTTGTTAAGACACATTCATGCTAGCTTGGCGTCAATGAGAGTAGAATGATCCGGCCTGGTCTAACTCATGATTTGGATTGTAGTAATTCCTTCATGACACATTACAAGGTTGTCACAGCCGAAAGGTTACCCAAGTACATGACAAAGCAGTAACAGAAGACTGTTGTTTTCACACTGCAAAAACTTTCTGCCAATATACACTGACATCCAAAAACCGAAAATTCATCCGTCTCTCATTTTTGTGATATAACTCCAATGTACAACTTCAGGTGCCCAGTAAGACATAGCCACATAGCCTATTGCCCAAGCCTGCTTTTTGAAGATTAGCTTTATTCATTGCTACCTATTAGAGTACTTTCATATAATTAGTGTTTAAGTACATACTCACAGATGATTGTTTCTCTATAGTTAGCATTTTTTGTCTTGTCTACTTAGCGAGAAATTATCTCCTTAGAACATAAAGAACCCTTGAGTAAGTAATTTTGGCATGTTTTCGTTAACTCTGAACTCCCTGTCTTTACTAAACTAAAACAAAATAATCAGGATAAAGTAAAAATAATAAGGCAGTCCATGAAGCAGACTAGTGTAAACTACATTTCTAACAGTTGCTCTTTTTGTAATAGCAAAACATAGTCAGAAATTGCAACACTCATTTATCTCTGGTTGAACAGTGGTTTTATGCAGTCATCTGTTTTTAACCTTCAGTCTTCCTTTGAAACTATCCATCGGTAAACAAAACATTTTTCTCTTTCAGAGATAAACACAGTATACTTTAGCTTATGGAATTTCACTTTGCATTTTGGTATCTCTTGCTTTCTCTTACCGTACCAGTATTTATTCTTTTGTCAGCGTTTTACCTGAAGATTTATTAGGTAGGAATAAACTGTAGGTTGCAAGATGGGCCCTTTACTTATGCCAAAAGCCAGTGTGATAAAGAAAAAAGTGGTAACTAAAACACTGGACCTTTCTGTTAGTTATGAGAAGCAGAATGGGTGATCTGATAAAAACTTGCCTCTGTCAGTGAGGCTACCTCCAGGTAGGTTTTCACCATACTACAAACACCTACACATTTTTCACCTCTCAGATTTGCTCAGTATTACTTGTATTCAAAAATCATTAGGTAGTTAGTTATATATCAGTGCACTGGTTAGGAGAATAAAAAATAATATATATATATTTAAAGTATTATGTCTATAAATATGTCTTTATATTTAAAATATTATATCTAACATTTACTGTTAATATTTTCTAACTGTGAGAATTAGTGTTTTAAATCTCACCGAAACTCTCTTCAGAAAATATAAATTCAGTTACTCATCCACAGGGGTCCACTGGATACCACATTTGGTTTCTAGCAGCCAGCCAAGGAAAGGATGGATTTCCTACAGGCCCTGTGTCACATCTGTCAACCAATGTGAATATTTTGGAAAACTCAGGCTTCTCAAAGAGTAGCAACCACCCACGTGTGGATAATTGAATGGAACCTTTTATCACGACCTCCCGTTTCTCCTGTTAGTCTGAACTGAAGGAGTTCAGGAATGCTGGCTCTTTGGACGTGGACAGTGGAGGAGGAACACTACACCTCTTCACTATTCCTCAAGCCTAAAATAAAAGCTGTGCTAAAATCACCTAATATCACAACAGCTATGTCAAAATTTTGAGGCCTGACATAATAATTACACTATCAGGAAGGAAACTGAGTAGATGATTGAGAAAAAAAAAAAAAAAGTCCATCCAGCCTTGCGGTGGTTCTTCTCAAGCCCTCTTAGGTGTGATAAACCCAATATTTCTAAATGCCCTGAAAGTTCCTCCCTAGCAATTACTGGCTATAGCTGCAGAAAAATGAATGTGCTTGGCCCTTGAAAATAACAATGCCAAGTGACACGCCATGATACATGAGACATGAAAAAGACAATTATCCTCTATTAAGGAGGTATGTGTATCGGATTCCTCTTAAATCATGTGCATTGTTACCTCTCTGTTGTGCACCTTTTTCAGTATTTTTGTATCTCAATTATAACTGTGAAAGCCAAAATTTTGGCTTTAAATCTCCCACAGCAGGAATTAACATTGTTGTACTCTGTACACAGAAGTCTACTACGGACTATGATACTTTCATGCATGCTGAGTGCCTGCCTGCTGAGTATCTATTTTCCATTCCTGCTCAGGGTGAGTGGGTGGTTATATTCCCAGCAGAAACTTGTAAATACTCCTGGTTTGTCATCTTTTAATCCCTTTGTATACCTCACCACTCACAGTGGGCTGAGCTAGTGCCATTTAAGAATGACATATCAAAAACTTCACTGAATCACCCCATCTAGAGATGAAAGAGCCTTCTTTTTGATCATTCCCCTTCGTCACACTACTAGAGCATAAGTGGTCCCAAGGGACATTCCAGCATTTTTTACTTTGCATTAGTCAGTACATTTACACAAACACTCAAATATTTTTCTTTTCTTCTGGCTCAGAAACCACAGGTGAGGTATTTAATGAAGCCAACAAAAATCAGAGGTCACCATCCCTATTTTCTTCTACTTTTATATATATTTTTTTTTCCCATGAAGATATAAAGAGAAACATACTATGAAATTTGGTAAGATTTCTGCAAAATAGAAAACTGAGGACAGAAAACTCCTACAATTTCCTTGAACCAAGTTTAAGAAAATTACTGTTAAGAATTTTAGAAGTGAAGAAATGTAAAGAAAAAAGTAAGGCTCTTAATGTAATCATTTAATGTTGCTGATTTGAAAACCATATAAGTTTTAATCCTGTTTTTTTTTTTTTTTTTTTTTTTTGTAAATATTCTGTTATTATAACACTCTGTGTTAGAGAAAACATCTCTACATAGACCATCAGTCCATTTGGTTTTGTGTGATATAGTACTAAATTCTGCCCTCATCTTTTACAGCAGACCTGGTAAGGATGTACAGGAAGAAAGACTTTGGTCCAACAATTACGCTAGAGAAACATATATATCATAGATGAATTTAAAAGTCAATGCAAACCAAATCCAAGCCAAACAAGATCAGAAGTGGAATCATATACTTAAGTATACAAGGAAAACTCCCAGACAAATAAGACTGAACTATCTATCACTCAGTTTCCACCTTTAAATAGCATTTATGCAGGCTGATTTAGTTCAAAAATTTTCAGGGCAGGGCAACAATGTTTAATTTCCAAAGGTTCAGAAACTGAAAAAGTTATAGCTATTGTCAAACTGATGCTTGAAAAACTATAAACAATGTTTTACAATGTCTTCAAAAAGAGTTGAGGCAGATCGTAATTTTAACCATTTAGCAGCTGAAGGAGTCCTCAAATCCGATGATGACCTGAATATCTGTTATAAAAAACAAAAAGGAAAGACGCCCAAAGAAGGGGAAGGGCATAAATTGAGGAGCAATATGAAGAAAAAAACAACCAACCAAACAAAAACAAACAAACTTTTTTTCCATTCATTTTTCTATTTAAAAGTCATGTTGAAGGCTAAGCAGGCACCTTTGGTCTAAAACTTTAAGGAGAAATTATGCTGCCTGGTGGGGTACTTCTTGCAGCTTCGAAGCCTCCACTACAGTTAGTGGAGAACAGGTGTGTGCAAACAATGCTGGGTAAGGGTTCTACTAACACTGATTTTCCATACCCAGTGGTTATGTGCCCAACTAATTTTAGACATGTATGTGAATGCTCTGGTTAGGCATGTGCTAAGTACCTTGCTGAACAGGGTCTGAAATACTCCTACAGATAGGACAGTTATAGCACAGGGACCTGCTTCTGCCCGTTTTAAATCTCCGTGTTATCTTCCTTGCAACTTCAAACAACATGAAACCTTTGCTGAATTTATCTTGAAAACTGTTACAACTTAGTCAAGTGGGTATTTCTTTTTTTGGCATATAAAATAGTGTATATATTTAAGATGTAGCTTACATATAAAAATTAAAATGTTTTTTAAAAGCCTAGTCAATCTTTGTGCAAGTCTTCTATGAAGAAAAAGCACAGTGGGACATAAACGCACGTATACATTTATTTTTTAAGGAAAGTTAGCATGTTAAATACATAATAGACATTTCATGTACAAATATTTCAGATATATATACACAGATGGATAGCCATATGCATATATTTTTAATACACACATATGCATGTATAAATGGATGGAATATATGGAATACATTTTAGTTCCATGTATTTTTTTCTGAGCTTTGCAATGGGACTAAAAAATGCATGGTAAGTTGGGCACCAGAATATGTCTTAAAGAAGAAAAGTTCATGTTACGCATGAACAATACATCTAACAGACATGACATTTGCCACTGCTCATCTAGAAGCCTGAGAGTTTTGCTCTCAGAAATGCAAAGTATTCAAATACTTGACCTTTAGAAAAAACAAGGCACACCATGACAACTACCCCTAAATCCGTCAGGTCTGTTAATGTACTGCAGAGAAGTTAAGACAAGCTAGAAAGATGGGAACTTTGTCTTCATAGTTTTATTACAGTTTAGAGACATGATCTCAGGTTCATGACACCAGCTCATTTGTTCAACGATTGCTTTGGAAAGTCTTTTTCAGGCTGCTCTTCTCTACTGACAGAAAAAGAAATGGTTTGAAGAAAAGAACAGAGGAAAAGAAAAAGTTCTGAAAACTGTTCAGAAACTTTATTTAAATGAGAGCTGCCAAGTTAAGGACTTGCACACGTAGCTTCACATCACACAGCCATGTATGCCTCTTTATGTGATCTGTGTGCCCAGTTTTTCAGAGTATGTCCACACCTGCACTGTACTCTTATTCACAGAATGGCTTGGTTGTAAGGGACTTTAAAGATCATCTAGTTCCAACTCCCAACTTTTCCAGTCTTTCATGTTCTTCATGACTTTTTCAGCCATGAAGTGTATTTTAGATGGAAGACAGAAGTATGAGGAAACATTCTTCTGCCTGACAAGATAGGTGAGTGAAGTATAGTCATAAATTTAAAGCCCCTTTGCTCATAGCTTTTTGCAAATGAAAGGTGACGGCTTCTATAATGACACCCCTAGCAACACGGCATATAACCTACAAGTTTGCCATATCTTTGTATGTAAATACAATATATATATATATTTAAGTTCACTGTAAAAACAATGCTTTTCTTCTCTATTTGCAGTTAAGATTACACCCCTCAGGCAGCTGGCCTGAAACCCTGAGTGCTGACTAAGTCACCCTGCTGGGGCCTGATGCTGCAGATCCTGGATGTGTCAGACCGTGTGGCGACTTCCATTTGCACCGTGCACGTCGAAGAGCAGCATGAATACCCCTCTGGCAGCACTGCTGCGCAACGTTTCCCATCCGTGCCTTTCCTGGAGTGATTTTGCCAAACCTCCCTTTAGTTCACTTCGAGGTGAAACAGGGAAAACCACTTCCGACGTTTCTCCCCATTTCATTTCGCAGACAGGGCCAGTGGGTAGACACGCAGTTACTCAAGCAAGCCCAAGAGATGGTTGCTGTGGTTGGAGGACCCAGTCTCCACTCGTCCGTCCATCCATCCATCCACCATCCATCTGTCCGTCCGTCCAGTCCATCCACCCACCCACCCACCCACTCCTCCGGCAGCCGTGCAGGGCGAGCAGCTCCCCCGACTCCCCGCAGCTGCAGCGCTGGGGAGTCACAAACTCCTCACCCTGGGCCAAAATCACGATGAGTCGCGACAGAGCCACGCCTGTCGCGAGTCCCGCAGCGGTACCGGCTGCTCGCAGCGACCCGCCCCGCCTCCCCAGACCCCCTTGGGGCCAGGCAGTGCGCGGGGCTCGGGCACTCACCATTGTGCAGCGAGCCTCGGCTCCTCCTGGCCAGCGTCTGCTGGACCTGCCGCTGGATCCGCAGCGCCTTCTCCTCGCCGCCTCGCCCGCCCGACAGCTTGAGCCCGGCCTCGGAGGGCAGCGCCAGGCTGGAGCTGTCCAGCTCCCCCAGGATCTGCTGGCCCAGCACGGTGCGGATGTAGCCCTGCTCGCCGCCGGGGCCGCGGCCGGCCATGGGCTCGGGCGGGCTGAGCACCGCTGTGCTCCGCTGTGCTCCGTTAACCTGTTGCGCCGCCGCCGCCGCTCGGCCCCGGACAGACGGCAGGGGCCGGGCCGGGCCGCGCCCCGCGCTCAGCACGGCCCCGGGGCCTGCCCCGCCCGCCGCGCAGGTGCCAGGCACGGCCCGCGCCCCCGCCGCCTCCCCGCCCGCTGCCGGGGCCGGGCCGGCTCCTCCCGTGCCTCCGCCGCCGCCTCTCCCCTCCCGGCCCCGCTCGTCCCCTCCCCTGCTGCCTCTTTTCGTCCCTGGCGGGGACAGGGACGCGGCGGGGCGCGGTTCACTTCGCCGCCACCGCCCCAGGCAGCCGCCGCCCGGCCCCGGCTGTCCCGTAGGGGCTGGCGGAGAGAAGCCGCTGGCCGTGACCGCTGCTGTAGACACGTACACCCCACACACGCCTTGCACTGTAGCTATTTGGCATTACGCTGGCTGGTTTAGGCACTTCTACGCCTTACACTGAGATACGGAACTGCTTTTACACACAGCGGGCCCCGGCTGTAAAGATAAAAACTTTCGGGCGGGGCTGGGCTGGGAGTAGGCGCGGGGCTGCTGGTGGAGGAGTTCGGCTGCTCTCCCCGGTTTGCAGCTTGCCCTGAGGGTTTGCAAAGGGGTGAACTGAAGCCGTCTTCCCTCCGTGCCATTGTAAAAAGGTGGCAAGGGAATTTCGCAACTAAAGACCGTGGAAAAACAAACAAAACCAAACCAAACAGCAACCAAAACGCCCGGCAGGCTGTTCTGCAAACATCTGTGCTGGTGTTTACTGTCCTGAGTGGCTTCTTACTTGCTGAAATAGGGCTCAGCGAAGGGGAGCAGGATGGAGGCTCAAGCTCCCCCACTGTCTCGGATACGACGTGGAGTTACTGTATAAACGAGCCCTGGGGTCGGCTTGATGTGAGAAGTGGAGGGAAAAGGGAACATGCAAACTCTTGTGGATAGGAGAGTGTGGACTTGCACGCTCCGTTTAGAAAAATAAATAGGTGAAGCAGGATTTCTCAATTTAAAAACCTGCCAACCAAACAAAAACAACAAACCAAACAAAAACACCAACAAACTTAATGTAGGCACTTTCATGGAAAATCTGGTAGTTCTTAAAATCTGGTATTTCTTAAAAGCAGATGAAAGGTGAATATGGCTTTTAAATCCATTTGTTGCTGTATTTCTGAGGGCACTGGCACTCAGAATGAGCTGGGTGTGACTTTTACTTTTTTAACCAGTACTTCAGACATAGTGGTGAGGGCACAGGGTGGCTGGGAGTGGGATGATCCTTGCTTTAGAGTACGCCATAATGTAGGAGCAGTTTCCTGCTTATTCTCTGAATACTGAGGAGTGGGGGAGGAACTGGCTTGGTGTGTAGGAGTCCTGCTTGCTGACACACATTGATTGCAGCAGCGCAATCCTTTTACCTTTGATTCACTCTTTGTCTCTCTCCCATTTTTCTTTAAGAGGAGGAGGCAGTTCTGTCCTGTCCTGTCACTCGGTCTGGCTCATGTCATCCCCTTTTGTTCTCATGTGCCTTATCACAGGAAAGGTCATATTAAAGGCTGCATATGATATGCAAAAATAGTTTCACTGGTTAAGAGAGATGGAGTGACACACTCCTTCAGAACGAACAAGGAATGGTTGTGCATGGAAGCAGAAAGGCTGGCGATAAGGTGTGGGGTACCAGGTGGGAAAGAACAGGGATTTGTGAAGAGGAGGAAGCTGGAGCTATGTGGCAGAACTATGACAGGCAGGCCGAAAATGCAACAGAGAAGTGGAACGATAAAAAAATGGAAGAACAGGCAGGCTAAAGCAGGAAAAACAAATGGGAAGATGCATCACAACTCAGAAAGAATGTAAACTATGTTAGAAACTATGTTAGATCCTTTTAGTAAAATACAGACAGTCACAAAAGCATTTGCAGTAAACAATAGATACTATGTTCTTGTTGCACATTAAGAAGTGGCAGGCACGAATGAGTGGGGACTACTGAGGAGATTAAAAAACATTTTAAAAAATGTGGAACATTTCCTCCCCTCCTCCCATTTTCTGCCCTCTTCTCCATTCCTGAACTTCAGCACAAATATAAATTCTGTGTAGTTTCTATAGTTTGGTTTTAAGCATACAATACACCTGAAATGGATCCAAGATTTAGAAAATACTCTTGTAGAGGGTGTCCTCAGATGCCACTGACACCACATATGGTTTCGCAAGCTCTTAGCACATTGGCATTACTTCTCTTGGATTAATTAAATTAATTAATTGAATTATTTAAATATTAAGTTATTGATATTTTATTTTTTAATTATTTATTGAATTATTAACTTAATCATGCAAGTATGTATGTTTGTGTTTGTAGCAATCTGTGGCAACAGAAGTGACTGTTTTCTCTGGGCTTTAAAATTTTTAATGAGATTTCTGGGACAGATTGCTTTCCTCGTAACTATAACTGCTAACTAGAAAGCTGTGGGGGTGGAATATTTTTCCCTGCACATCCATTCAAACAATGCTTAGTCAAGAAAACAATAAAATAAAAATGAGTTAGGACACTTTCTTACCCAAGGAAAATAACAAGATACCATGTAAATGATTTTTCCATCAATACAAAGTTATTCAAAGTTGATTCATGTTACGTGAGAAGGAAATATGTGTCATTTGTAGATTCAAAGCAATGGGATAATTCAGGGATTATCCTTGAATGGATGGTGACTTGTGATAGATGATTGATCATCCTTTTTTTTTGAACAAGAGGTTTAATTATGATACATATAGTGACTAAAGGGTGAAGAATCACAAAAACATTCATTTCCTGTCTGGTGTCTGATGGAGTCAAGGAGCTCAGAAAATAAAAGGAAAAAGTTCTTTATAAGACTTGTTTCTTATTCTGTTCAGGTGTGCTGGGCCTAAATCATGCAACCTATCCCTGTTAGAAGTCCCATACAAATAAAATGTATATATATAATACATATAATAAGATGTATATTGTGGTAGCTCATCCTTTCACTCTTTTCTCTCTTTCCTACTACTGCCCTCTCTCTGTGATACGACTTAGAACAAGCTAGTTTTGATGGTATGCTGAAAACAGATTATTTCCAGTTTAGAGAAAACCGATGGTAAGTATGGACATTGATGTGTTCAGTTGAGGTGTGACAGAGCTCGACAACAATGGCATCATTTTAAATGCAAACAAAATTATTCCTAAGTACATCTCTAGGAATACCTGGAGAATGAAATGCTATTCAATCATTTTTATTTCCTCAGTTATTTATGCAAGGTCTGGATACCATGGTTGAAGGTGTTATGTACAAGTACAGGCTAGTCAGGAATAGCTGGATTGTTTCCACATCTGGCCTAATCATTTGAATAACCCTGCCGAGTGAAAGCGAACCAACTCCTCCCTGCCTGCAAATCCCCTCCGAGGACAGAGCAGCCGCACTGCCACCGCGTGTTCCATTTGAGGAATAGGCATCCCAGCGCCGCCGCCTTGCTGCCATTCCTCTCCGGGGTAAAACTTGCAAAGCAGATTTATAGAGTACCGAGGAAAGAGTTAACTTCACCCTTAGACATCTGAGGTCAGTATTTTATTGCAATTTTATTTGTCAAAAGAGATAAAGCTGAAGTTAAATCCATCTGTCTTTTGCATCAGGCACAGATAACCCATACTCTTATGGATATATTGCTCTCTTTAATCCTAGCATAATTTCTGGAAGCAGAGGAGGAGTATATCATACATCTTTATTCTTTAATATAATTAAAGATATTTTTCAAAGTCACCTAGGAGAAAAGTGTTACTTTTGCATTATTAAAACAAGTATGGAAGCAGTTCTCTGAGAAAATTGTGACAAGTAAAAACAGTAAGGTCTTTGATAGGCACTCTCTACCTGAGCCAGACAAGGTTCAAAGGAGTGGCAGGTTGCCTGACAAAAGAAAACAAACACACAAAAAAGATAACAATGATCTGCAGCCAGTTCTAGGAACATTACAAATCTTCCATCACTCTGCATTTCAGGGAGGTGTGTGTGCTAGTGTGGGTCTTGGAAAGCCAGCCCATAGCCTAGAGCTGGCTAACCTTCCTGAGTTGTGAAATGTCAGGTCAGAAATGCCAGATGGATGTGAGATTTGTTTTATATCTCAAGAGAGCCAAGGGTTGCAGGAATTTAGCATGGACCTCAAGATATATATAACAGTGGCTCCTCAGGCATATGGCTTTTTAATGGTGCAGTATGACAGGACTAACTTGTATCTTGACCTGTGGGGTAAATCCAAGTTCATTTCAGCAGTCTTGCCTCTTTTTGTTTTCTCCTGTGTCTGAAGGTATTGTTTATTTAGGTATCTGAAGGTATTGTTTATTTAGCCTTCCTGTGCCAGAGTGGCAGCTGACATTGGATAGTGTTGTCGCTCCCAGGTAAGATCTCTGCTTGAACTACTTCTGAGCCACAGACCACTGAAAAGTTTTTTTACATCCCCTCACTGCCACACTGAGCTTGATCTGATGGGAATGGGATGCTACTGCTGGAGGTCTGCTAAAGATCTAAACTGGGATGTACTCATCCAGGGGATATTTTTGGATGTTCAGCCCAGTACATATTGTGGGGTTAGATTGTGCTCTGAAACATGAAGTAGATAGAGCTGTGCTCAAGAGGAAGGAGTCTGTGTTTGTGTGTGTGCTTGTGTGGCTACCCTTGCATAAGATAACATCCAGCTTTTGTTGTGATGCTGTAAAAGGATTTGATACAGTGATTGAGACAGCAGGACCAGGGGGATCTGAGATGAATTTTTTAGCAGGCCTGACTAAGAGTGACCTCTGTGGAGTCTCCCCAGCAGATCCAGGCCTGTTTTACTTGCTGGTGGGCTCCTCTTTGCACAGCAGGTATGGGAGGCCTGGTTGCACAGCTCCAGTGGGAAGAGATGTTTGGTGAGCAAGAGAGGAGGAAGAAGAGTTAGTCCAGGTTTATCAGAGCTGGTCAAGGCTCGCTAGAAAAGCAGATGAAACTGAGCAGCAAGGAAGCAAGGGCAATGCTGATAATGTTGCGTTTAAGGATTAACAAAGTAAGGGAACAGCCTGTGTATGCATGGGACCCTTTGGTGACCCAGCACTGGCTGCCCTGGCAACAGCCTGTGCCTGGGGCCTGCCTTCCTGGCCTCATTTCTTTTTCTTCCAGGTCCCTGAGCTCTCACTGCTTTATCCTATCATTCCTAGTCTCCCTCTTTTAGTAATCAAGTGTAATAATTTAAGTGTGATTTATTTTATTTTATTTTATTATTTTTTCTTTCTTTCCAGGCTCAGAGCCACACATAGCCAGTTACTGGAACAAAGGCTGTGCTGTGCATCTGTCAGTTCTTGAGTGATCTGGGCACTGGGGAGACAGCCAGAAAAGATGCAGGAAAGCATAATCAAATGGTCTTATCAGATGCTGCCTTAAAAAGAGCAGCAATGTGATGTGACTTGTTTGCAGGGTTTGGAATGAAAGGAATGAAGCGGGGCTAAATCAGTAAGCTGCAATCAATGCTTTGAGTAACACTCTCATTCTGTTGTCTCAGGTGGCAGTTCTTCCATGCATTAGCATTTTGGTCCCTGTAATAAAAGAGCATGTTGTATATAGAGGTGGAGATGTGAATACTCTAAAGCTGTTGACACAGGAGCACAACACCGGTGTTTATTGGAGTTGCTATTGCATGCAGTATCACCTGGAGGCTCTGAATTTTATTAGGCCCTCTTTTGCTTGGTTCTGCGTATAATGAGAGGTTTTTGTTTTCATTTTGTAGTACAAGTAAGGAATACATCTAAATAACTGTTGTTTCATCTTCTTATACAAGTCAGGGACAGAGGAATCAAATGCAATTCCTGAAGAAATGTGGTAACTCAGAAATTGAAAAACTTTTTATTTTTTTTCATTTTTTTGATTGCTAATTTTGAGATTTATGAGATTTGGTTATTCAAGATATGATAGAGCATCATTTTAAAACACTCTTTTTCTCCCAGTATTAGTAGAAAGATTTTACTGGTCATGTTTCCCATCAAAACATCTTCTGAGGTAAAATTAAAATTTTGTGGATTTTTTTTTTTTTTTTTTTTAATATCAGCTGTCAACACCCCTATAACTGGGGGTATAATAATAACAACAACAACAAAATGTATTTTCATTAAACTATCTGAATTTCTTCTGATAGCATAATAAAGTTGTAGAAAACAGGGATGAATGGACTTGGGGAGGACATCTACTAATTTCCTGCTGTAAAATAGGATTAATTGTATATAAATATCACAGATACCTAATCTTCTTTCAATATGTTATTTAATGGGTGGCTATTTCTGTATAATACTGCTTTTCCACAACCTGAGGATACACACAGGAAAGATCTGTTATACTAGACACTAATTTTCATAATGCTACATTGATGCATCCAAACCAGTCACCCTTAGAATATGACAGAAAACACTGAAACATACAGGAGATTAAGTTGGAAGAAAACCAAAGTGCACATGCATATTCATTTTGGGTTTGTTCCTTAACTTCAGCAGCTTTGTGCACAAAGCAGTCACAAAGCTGGCCAGCTTGTTTCCTTGGGAAAGGGAAGTCTCAGATAGGCTCTAGTTGCCAGAATATTTATAATAGATTTGTCTGTGAATGAGCAGGTCCAGCTGGCCGGCAAGAACTGTGGCTGTGGGCTGCTCTATGAATACAGTCATTTCCCAGTAGGTCCGTCCTTCCTTCCTTCCTTCCTTCCTTCCTTCCTTCCTTCCTTCCTTCCTTCCTTCCTTCCTTCCTTCCTTCCTTCCTTCCTTCCTTCCTTCCTTCCTTCCTTCCTTCCTTCCTTCCTTCCTTCCTTCCTTCCTTCCTTCCTTCCTTCCTTCCTTCCTTCCTTCCTTCCTTCCTTCCTTCCTTCCTTCCTTCCTTCCTTCCTTCCCTTTTAACTTATTTTCTTCCTTCCTTCTTCTTTTTTTTTTCTTTTTTTCTCTCATCGTTTTCTTTCTCTCTCATTTTCCTTTCTCTCTCACTCTTTCCCTGTCTCTCTGTCCTTCTCTCTCTCATGGTTTTTTACCTCCCCTTCTCCTGCATCCCTTTTCTCTCTCTTTCTCTCTTTCTCTCTTTCTCTCTTTCTCTCTTTCTCTCTTTCCTCTTTCTCTCATTATGATGATGATGATGATGATGATGATGATGATGTAAGGAGTCAGACCCTTAATGGATTCATTTTTTGTAGTAATTTATTCTGGGTGAACCAGGACAAGAAAAGTACAGTCCAACCTGATCCTGGCTCCAAATAAATGCAACCAGTTCTGTGGTATAAATAGCTGCCTTGTTTCCTCTACTTCTCTGTTCCCATGAATCTCTCACACCAACCTCCCCCCCTTGCCCCTGTTTTGTTCTCAGAATAGACCAAATATTACAATGAAAAGTTCACATTCCAGGATTTTCACTGCAGTTTAGAGAGTGACATAAGAACAGGAAAATGCCTGTCCTGGATCAGACCAAAGATCTAGGTAGCATGCTCTGCTGCAAAATGTGCAACAGTAGATGCCTAGCACAAGGTGAGCTCAAAAGTAGAGCAGTACTCCCTTTGTATACATTTGCAGCTTCCAGCAAAGTGCAACTTAGGGATATCTTTAGTCAGAGGCAGTACCTTTGTGTTTAATTGTCTTTAATGATTTCCCCTCCATGAATTTGAATAATGTCTTTTTGCATCTGTGTCAACTTTGGCATCACTATTGCCCCTTTGTAACGGGTTATACAGCTTAATTATAGGGTATGAGAATATATATTCCCTTTCGTGTTTTTTGAACATGCTTGATTATAATTTCACTTGATATCATCTATTTTCAGTATTGTGAATTAAAAGAGAATAAGCTATTCATCCTCTCCGTACTACTGACTTTGCAGTTCTCTATTCTGTTCCTCTGCAACTGATTTTCCAGTCCTAACCTTTTAATCATTCTTTTCATGGAAATTGCTTCAGGCTTTAGATCATTTTAATCACCCTTCTCTTTTCTAGTTCAGCTTTATCATTTCTGAGATGGAACATCAAAACTGCACACAGTATTTAAGATGTTGAGACACCTTGGATTTGTATAGTGATACATTGATTATATCCCATTTTATTCTCTATTCTGCACCTAATAATTCCTTAATATTCAGTTAGCTTTTTTTTTGACTGCTTCTAAGCTGATGTTTTGAAGTTAGACACTTGTGCAAATGGTTCTTTGTCTTGCCTTCATGCCTTCTGCAAGCATGTTGAGTATAAACACATTTCAGTTAGTATTACAGAGTGATAGCAACCTTGGGACACAGAACAAAAATACCTCTCAGAAGAAGGTCAAAATCCAGTTCCTCCCTTTGAGTTCGCTGACTAGCTTATCCATGAAACAGTCATGTGCAATGTCTAAAAATACCCTACTGTGACATTTAATACTACACAATAGTAACTAAATGATCCTATTATTATGGTGTTTCCAGTCCTGTCTGTCTCTTTGAATCCTATTTTTTCTCTAGTTTATCACTATAGTTAACTCATTATCTTGACCAAAATAGTGCTAAGGTCACTGTGCCTTGGGAGTTGCTTTTAAATATTTTGCTTGACATTTCTAAATGATATTTGGTTTTAGCAGCTGGACATCTAACCACTGCTGTAGCTTTGGCGAACTCACAAGGTACATAATGCTGTAGAATATGCTGTTGTCCAGAGGAGGGCTACGAAGATGGTAAAAGGCCTGGAGGGGAAGACGTACGAGGAACGGCTGAGGGCACTGGGCCTGTTCAGCCTGGAGAAGAGGAGGCTGAGGGGAGACCTCATCGCAGTCTACAACTTCCTCGTAAGGGGGTGTCGAGAGGCAGGAGACCTTTTCTCCGTTAACACCAGTGACAGGACCCGTGGGAATGGGGTTAAGCTGAGGCAGGGGAAATTTAGGCTTGACATCAGGAGGGGGTTCTTCACAGAGAGGGTGGTTGCACACTGGAACAGGCTCCCCAGGGAAGTGGTCACTGCACCGAGCCTGTCTGAATTTAAGAAGAGATTGGACTGTGCACTTAGTCACATGGTCTGAACTTTTGGGTAGACCTGTGCGGTGTCAAGAGTTGGACTTGATGATCCTTAAGGGTCCCTTCCAACTCAGGATATTCTATGATTCTATGATTCTATAATATACATCAGCTTTAACTAGGGGGGTCAAGTGTGCAAACACATACAAAACTACGTAATTTTTACTTGTAAAAAAAACAAAAAAAAACACCAAAAACTTAAGTCAAAAGGAACTGAAGCAACATATTCAAGAGAAACACAAACTTTACCTGTAGAGAGTAAACTGGGAGAAAACCAAGTCATGCTGGCCCGTCTCAGGTGTTTTCATACTTCCATCAAGTTTTGTCTTAGCGTATATATTTTAGGTATGTAAAAATTGCTCAATATAAAGCTAGTCTCTATCTTATATTGACTTAAAATATCTTGATATGAAAACTCATTTGATTCTGTTCTAGTAATAGCAGTTGAATTGCTTGCTTACATTGCCTTTGTTCCAAAGATTGCAAAATATTTTACATGCATTCATGAACGAAACTCGAAAATATCACCCAAACAGAATGTTTGGCAACTAGTTCCCTACCCAGGGCCATCTGCAAAATGAAATGAAATCTAGGGGATTTTTCTAGAAACATGCTCTAGCTGGGGCTTGATCAATATACTCAAGCACTTTTATATCCTCCCTCCCCTTTGCTGCTTTGTTGCATAACAAATTCATGTTTATTTATCAGTACCACAACATTTGCCATCTGTTAATCCAGGTGCTGGATCTAAACAGTACATATTCTGTATGCCAGTGGACAGTTCTTTTCTATGTGCTATGTCTCTGAAGTTCAGTATAGCTTTAATATCAACAGGAGATTGGAAAGTTGTTGCCTCCTTTGCCAGTTTGTGGAATCTTTTAGATAAATTATACAAGTGTATGCACTCACATTCTGCTCTCTGTAGTATTCTCTTTCATTTTCAGCTTAATGAAATTGTAACTATAGGAATTTCCTTCTCTCGTATGCTTTTAGATAACTCCGAACATGCTGTGCCAGCAACCGTTGGAATTTACACCCCTTTGTCAACTCTAGACAATAACTCCAGATGGGATCTGGGAGCTTTGTAAAGCACTTCCTGAAAATCTGAAGAAATCCGGCCAAATGTATCCCTGATGTGAAGCCACTGGTAATAATGGAGATACAGCAAGAATAAACATTGATTTGGTGCCCACTAAATCTGTTTCATTTCATTTTGGCAGAATGTTTATGAAAATTTTTAAAACAAATCAGTCAGTCTCTCCATAATCTGAATCCAGCATGGCCATTCTTAGTCAAGCTGTGCTTTTTTGACATTCGCTAAACTTAATTTATCCCTAGAAATGTTGCTGATGATAACTTATCATAATGATAATGATGATAATGTTGATGATAACTGTTGCTACAATAAGGTCATACCTCAATGGACATTTTAAACTGGACTATTTGTTCAGCTGAAGAACAAGTGAAGCAGACAAAGATATTTTCTGCCTGGATTTGAGCTGGAAGAAGGGACTGCATGAAGTTAAGCAGTGTCTGCCGGATCTTGGGTATGCAATGGCCAGTAATTTAACTGGAGAGGTCACTGGGGGCATCTTGTGTTACTGACATGTCTCATGACAGCCTCTCTAAAACCCCTGCTGAAAGTTTTCCTGACTAGACGTGGAATCAGCCACAGCCAGGGATTGGAATGTCTTCCCGAGTTCTGTTTTTTAACATGGAAAAGACACCAAAGGCTCCCAGTTGTTAAATCAATGTTTTGTAATTAAAATAAAATAATAAATCAGGGCATGACAATTATTTAAGCTAGTTTTCTAGTTAAATAGTTAAAACAGATTATATATATATATAAATATATATAATATATATATATATATTTATTTATTTCCGCCCCCTCCCCCCCTGGTTAGTTTTCTGTGAGATTGGCAGCTGAAGGAGCAAGATCAAATCTTCTGGCAGGCAAGTAATGTGAAATGGCCCCCTGAGTTTTGGCTGTGGCTTTGTTCTCTCTTGCAGGCTGCCCCTCACTTAGTTTCTCAGTCCCTGTTGCTACTTCATGCTGTTTCTCAGTGCATACTGTCCTATTTGCCCGTGTGCTCCAGATGGTTCCCTCAAGCTCAGCATTTTATCTTGCTTTTGAGGAAAAAGGCAACTCTTCCTTTCTCCCTCTCTTCAAAGAGTTCCATATAACTCCAGTGCAGTAGGCCAGAAGAGATGGACCTTTCTTTCTCGTGAGCAGCCAAACACAACAAAATGCATGCTACCAGAAGCAAATTAAGTAATTTTGTCAAAAAATATGTGGGCCTATATATATGTAAAATACACACATGCAACTGCATAAAAAACAAAAATTAGTGTCTGTGCAGAAGCTGCAGACAGCTGGAAAACATGCATGAGTTACTTTCCATTAGCTTTCCTCTCACTACTGGGATTCATCCCCAGCAGCTTGCTTATTCCCTCCTGCTCTGAGTCATTTAGTCCCTCTTCTTCCCATCACAGGAAAATATTTGAAAAAATGTCTTCACAGTATCTATGCTATGTTCCATAGCTCTGAAACAAGATCTTGGCAGCATTTCAGACGAAGAAAGTTACACACTATTTATGTAGATGTAGGGTGCTGTAGCAGCTTTCTAGGATTTTTTTTTTTGTCATTGCTTGGTTGATTTTGTTTCTGTTTCTGTTTTTGTTCTTTGCATTCTCTCCTACCCCATTGTGCAGGCTGCTCTGAGGTCTTGGATCTGATGTTCAGTGCTATGCCATGTTCTGCTTTGAGGTATGGCTGTATGTTACTAAGAGGTAATGTGACTCTTGTTTTTATGCACACACAGAGGTATGCACAGATGTGCACAGACTAATGCTCTCATTCCAGGGGAACCCAGGGGAGTTCACTGGGGAGGAAGAAACTCTGGATTTCTGGTCTACTCACAGCTAAGAAACAGGACTACAAATACATTTTTCCACAGACTTTGAGCTTTTAACCTCTTGCTATTTTGCATGATCAAAATATGAAAGAATGAATAATTTATCATTTAACCATTGTTATTAACATATTCCCAGAACTGCAGTACTACTGTGCTCATTGTTCCACCTTCTAATCGATTGTTGTTTACACTGTGGGTGAGGAACAAAATTGTCCTGGGTTTCTCCCTGGTGTTCTAATGTCCCAATCATTTGGTTAGGGAATTTGGCCACAGAATAATGCTGCTGCACAGTATAACAGTTAAATTTGTGGAGCCACACTTCCTTCCTCTGAAAGCCAAGGTGTGAGGAGGGAGACAAGGGGGGACTACTGTGTCTGGCATCCTTGTACAAGCTGAATTTGGCTATGACACAGGCTGTCTCCACCTTAGGAACGCTCTGGAGTCCACCAGTTCAGAAATAGCCAGAATAAGTCAGTCCAGCAGACAGGGCAGAGAAAAGCTGTATGACAACTCCTATCTTGCCAGTCAGAAAATGGAAAAAATAAAAACCTCCAAAAGATCTATTTCATTTTGCCTGAAGTCACAAAGCTCTTGAATCCTGAGCTCCAGTCCAGGACTTCAAGACTTTTGCTGGCAATTCATTCATTTTAATTATGAATTTCCTTGGTTCTTTGATACATTCTTGTTACATTTAGTCATCAAAAGACTCCTTATCTTGTAGCAATAATGTTGTTCAGCTAGGTAGGAGAATCTTCTGTTTGTATTTTGGTGTCTTACAAAGGAGACGTGCTTAAGAAATAAATATTATCTTCTATTTTGTAGGGATAACAGTATATATTATTAGAGGCTTCAATATGAAATAAATGTGATTAACAAAAAGAAACAATCTATGCATCAAACACTGAATATTTTGCATAAGCAGAACTACAATTGTTAAACAGAAAGCTTTGTGTGTGGCTTTTCTTCAAAACTGGTTTATAATTGCTGGCATTATGTCTTGTTGATTACTGAATGTAGCAGAAAAGTGTGATGGTGCTTGTCAGCCACTTTTTCTACACAGTGATATTCTTTTTAGAAATGATACAACCTTGTAGCCTACTGAGAAATAAATTAAAAACACCGAGATGTATTCCCTGAATTGAATTACTGGTGAAAGTTACAGTTGCTCAAAATATTGCTTATTTTCCTTTTACAAAAAAAGGAAAGGACTAAGAATGTGGCTAGGGACATTTTTTTTTTTTTTTTTTTTTTGATTAAGTAATAAGAAAATTTGCTTATATAACACCTGACTTCAAAATCACACAGAAACACTGCAGTTGAGTTATGTGAGTCTGATGATACTTTTTAGTTCATTATGTTTTTTATATGCAGATTAGAGACCTTATTCTCCTTCACTACTTGAATCATAAGTAACTCCACTCAGGCAGATGGAGCTGCAGTGCTGTAGTACTGTTGTGAGAAGAAACAGCAGCAAAATATGAGTGGAAACCGAGCACCTGGCGAAATTTCTCCTGAAGATGAAGCATAATTCTGCTGGAGAGATGCCAACAGAAACAATCATCAGATGTGATAGACATGGCAGAAACTGAAGACTTGACTTGTGGTTGGCATTGACTATTCTTTTTACCAAAAGCAGCTGCCATGTTCTTGATGAGACAGAAAAGGATGAGATTGAGATGTGCACAGCTGAGGATTAAAAGTTATCACCAAAAGATAGGTCAGTAGAATATTAGTACATTGTCATGATGAGTATGTTTCATCAGAAGTCCAGCTGAAGTAAATGCAAGACTTGTTACAGGGGTTCCAAAATAAAAGGAAGGCCCACAGTAAGTGCAAGGGATAAGTTTCAAATTGCTGGATGGAATCCACATGGAAATAGCTGATAGGAACAAAGAAAGCTTTTGTATATTTAGGGATATCTTAGGGGATGCACAATGAGAACAAATGGCAAGAGCTATCAAGGTAGTCCTGACAAAGGAAAAAGAAAAATATAGCATCAGTGGCACTATTAGTGACGTCTGGTGTTCAAGGAATTTTGCAATTGTGTTCTGTAAAGGGACAGTTATGATCTGATGTCCTCTTTTTAGGTGAGAAGCATGAGCCAGGTGGATCTGCTTCTAGCATATGGACGGGAAAGAGACACATTTTCTGTTCTATCAAGAGGAAAGAATCTAGTAAAGAAAGAGGAAGAAAGAATAACAAAAAGTAATAGGAAGCGGGTATAAGCCTTCATTCACACTTAAACTGCAAACTTCACATACTGTGTAATAATAGGATGAACACAATGGGTATGAAATATTTGAACTTGGAGTTAATTCAGTCTGCTTGAAACTTTAATGAACTTTGAAATGTGTCTCTGTATTGTTAATATCTCCAAAAAAAAAAAAAAAAAAAGAAAAAAGATTGGAAATATGGACAAGTTATATGTTACAATAGGCATATGATTATTAAGTCACACTAGGCAGCATGACCTAGTGGCCACTGAAGGTGGAAAGATTGCTCCATGATTTATTTTGAGCAACAATGGTATCTTTTTTTTTTTTTTTCCCATTGAAGTACTTGAAATAGGATTGATAACTCATAGCTTAAAGGAAGACATTTCTTGCATGTCAAACAAAATGATGGATAGGAAGACATGAGCTTTAAGTTTGACCAGCAGGAGAGCTTTTAGCTTTAAATTTAGCTTCTGTGAGATGCATCTGTGGTAAGGTAATCATGAATGGTTTAAAAAACCTCTCACAAAGGTAGATGGCTTCTGCAGAGAAAAATGAAAGGGTCACGTTAGCCATTCATTTATCAGATATGCTTCAGTTCACAGAAATAACCTATACTGTGGCAGAGGCTAGCTAAATTGAGCTAAGTCATTGGTATCCTTGAAGATTATAGCATCTTTCTCAAAATATTGATTTGAAATATGGAAAACTACAATTCAAATAATTGTATAAATCCTTAAGAAGACTTCTACAAGATGCAATCACTAAATAGTAAAGAAGATGCGAGGATATGTAGAAATTAGCAACATCAACATTACCAAGTAACTGCCTATGTTACAGTGTTGGAGCCAAACTAAAGTGATAGTAAGGTAGAGACTGTAGGGTCGGCCTTTATTTTGATTTTTTATTTATTTTTTTATTTTTTAAATCAGTTTAGGTTAGAAACCACTGTAGTCAAAATGAAACCATAGTCCATGAAATCAGAGGAACTGCTGTATTATTGTCAAGCACATTTGAGGAGAAGCAAGCTAAGTCATTGCATGGAGACTTCAAATCCATGCTAATTGTGTTGCAGTTCTTCCTCCTGCAATTTGACTTTCTACTCTGTTGCTCTCCATTCTTCCTGTGTCACCACACAATGCATGTATAATTCCCCCCCGCTTTTGGGTCTTGATGAAACATGGGATTTTTTTTCTCCAAGAGTGGTTGTCTGGCTTGCTTTTATCAGATTCTATTCCTCTCCAGTCTGTACAAAGTCTACTACAGCATGTCACTGAACTTCCCCAAAAAGCAATAAACAAAAGTAAGTTCTTACAGGTTGTTGAACATTTTAATTCTCTGCTTTGTGTGTACAATATGGGTCACAAGAATCTCACACAGTGTGTGTGTGACTCTTCCATCTCTGCAGGTTTGTATTAAACCACAAGTCTGGGATGCAGTGATTTTCAAAGTTTTATTTTGTATGAGGAAGACTGGCAGGGATTAGAAACTCCAAAGGGAGCAGAAGAGTGACTGAGAGAGACTGTAAGGAATAGATGGTTGGGCACATGTGTTAGTGTTTATTAGCTGTGCATTTGCCATCTGCTGAAGGAAAAGAAGCAACAGGGGACCAGTCATGCTGAGTGGAAAAGATGTGAGCGAAGTGCTATGGCTGGCCTAGATGGCTCTGCTGAAAGGGAAAGAGAGGTGATCAGGATGGAGGGAAAGAAGGAGGAGGTGCCATGGCTCTGTGAATGCACAGATGCTTATCAGATATATATTTTTTTAATTATTATTTTTTACTTTTTCTGACTTTGTTACATAGGACTAATTACTGAAACACAGCAAGCATGCATACAATGTTAGGACTGGTGGCACTGCTCACTGGATTTCAGCTCTGCCCTTTCTTGAGACTTTTCTGTGAAACTGTCAGAGCAAAAAGGACTTGAAATCACTACATCTAATCATGGGAGACAGTTAATCACTGAAAGTTTCTTTGCCTTGGGAATTAGTAACTGGCATAGAAGTCATCACATCATGGACAGCCAGTGTAAATTGGAGCTCACAGCTTAAATTGAAAGGAATATGTGAAAAGAACAACAAAGTTACAAACTTAAGGATTTTGAGATTACAAAATGTCAGTACGAAGGCAGGAACAGAGTGTGTAATGTTTTAGCCTGGACAAAAGAGATCTGGTAATAAATAACTTAAACTTGGAATGTAATGGCTAAGGGTAAATAATGAAAGGCAGTGGTTGTATTCAATTGTATTGAGCAAGACGGCAAACAATGGAAGCAGTAACAGCATAGGACTGTGAAGTGACTGCTCTGAAATATTGCAAAATAACTCCACTGTTTTTTAAACGTCTGTTTTTCTGATAAGAACTTGAGATTTTGATCAGTACACAAAACTGAAGAAACCATATATGAACCTGACTGCTTTAAGATCAGTTTTCAAAATGAGTTTTATGAAGGATTGTCCAATCTCACCATTACACTCCAGATGCAAAGGAAGTAAGACTTCAATGCTCACTATGACGTTAATTTAGCAAGTATATTTTTGTTCCCCAGATAAAACTGTAGATAAGGAAAAGGCACTACAGTATGAAGCAATGAGAGTTTAAGAATTAAAATGATTTTGTCAGAAAACATTTAGTATGACTTGTTCTGTGTATATTTTCCAGGTCTCTGGGAAGTAACTGAGTACCCATGGAAGGGCTGTTCTTAATATCTTCATTGATGATCATTTGGAAACCATAAATAAGAAAACTGATTTTATTCCTACAGATAACAATTGATTTGTAGTCTTTATTTAAAGTCTCACAACATTTTAAAAGTGAAATAGGAGACAATATAAAATGGAAATGTAAGTCCGTGTTCTGACATGTGAAATCTTAAAGAAGCTATTTAAAAACAGGGTGCATAAAAATCTCAGTATTGAATATAGCATTTACTAGGAGCAGTGCTAAAAGGAGGACATTTTATTACATTCTTTCTATCTCTATGTATGCTAGCAGCAATCTTAAAGCAAGTCTTTCCTTTTGCCCATTTTGCTGGATAATAATATCAGCTAAAATAACACTTCTTATTTCTAGTCACTTATTTGTTGTCATGTTCTGACTTATGGTGCTTTAGATGCTTTAGATTATCTTATTCCTGATGACTTTTTTTTTCTGTGTTTTTAGTAGTGCAACCCACAGTGACATCAGGAACGTCTGCTGGAGTGTTAATGTTTATTTGCAAACATGGAAGGAGGGTGAGGTATTTTAATTACTTTGCAATAGCGAAGCCATCAGCATATTTCATGTCTGAAGATTCAGACAGTTGAAAATACAGATTACTTGGAACTTTCTTCTGATATGAAACAAATGATAGCTTATTTGCTCTTCTAACAAGACGTCCTATCATTTTGAATAATAGTTGAATTGTACAATTATTTAAAGACACGAAGAGAAATGTTCTCTCTCTTTCCAATCTGTTCATTGGTAATAGCATAAAAAGATGTATCTTCCTGTGGAACAAAGGAAATAAATAAGGAATTGCTGCAGCCCAACTTTTTCTTTTATTTCTCCCTTCCCCTTCCCCTTCCCCTTCCCCTTCCCCTTCTCATTTCCCCTCTCTTCCCCCCCCACCTTTTTTTTTTTTTGAATTAGCTCCAAATTTCATTATTTCATTTCCTCTGTTAAATTAAAGTTTTGAAGCCATCTTCTTATTACTTTTTGTTTTAGTTTCTGGTTCTTGATATTTCAAACAAACACAAGAAAATTTCAACTGAGAAAGCTAAATTGTACTATATTAAAAATAAAAATCCAAAACAAATAAATAAACATACAACAAAAAATGTGTCTGGTTTAACCACCAATTTAATCTTAGGCTCAGAGATTATTAAACTATCATGTGACAATTGCAGATACACTAATTCCCCTGCAGTTGACAAAAAAAAAAAAGAAAAAAAAGACATTTTACAAATATTATGTGGGATGTGCAAGCTAGTATCAATTCATATGTTGTCTAGCTATAATTTTT